CTTCTTCTTAAATAGGACAGGTGTTGGACTGTCACCTGTGTTAACGTGACTGCATTAAGGTTCAAAAGCTTTGCTTCATCCTCAATTTCACACGCACAAACAGATTATACCAACATGAGCTTCAAGTGTACATCTAAGGTGATCGTGTATATAGTTCGATGGCTTCGAAGCATGCAAGATTCGCATCAACAAAGATTCAACACGCACACACGAAGCCACCATAAGTTACTCAGTGTACAAACAATTTTTCATGGTTTTTTATTGAAGGGAGATTTTTAGTAGCCCTCATCTCATAAGCTGATATTAGCGAGTTGCTTACTAGGGGCCCCGAACGAAATTGTGTCGGGTGCATAGATTATAACGCAGCCGAACAGATTCTACATTTTATAATTTAGTTTCAGGAGCTCAGACGTGAATTCGATCGGCCTCGCGGGTTTCGATCACCTCGTCATTTGAGCTCGACGAGTTTCTAGCGTTTGCAAACGTAAGGAATACTTCTTCCAATGTGGTATCTGAAACCTGGCAAACAATATACGTTAGGACCGGCCCTGTGCATATGGACCAAACTTCGGGACTGTTTTAGCTCTAGAAATCGTTGATTTAGCTTAACCTGCAATATATTAGTTATTATATCTACAACATAATAAGGTGAGAATATTATACCTGGATGTCCTCGAGAGCCAGATCTGACCGTGTGCGCAGCTGCAGAATCAGCTCGAACACTTCACTCCACTTAAGATTTAAGCTAGTTACATGGAACTTCAGGAGACGCTGTTGATGTCACAAGTACCATCAGAAATGTCCTTTAGAATTTTTTTTAAAACAGTGAACCTCATAAACCTTTACATGAACATGTAAATAGGAATACTCCTTCCTTGAGTTGACGGTGATGGTCACTGTCGATTGTACCGCGCAACAAACATTTCAAGCGAATCTTAACCGTTCCTACTACACACAGGCCACCAGAGTACTATCGCATTGTGCATATTCCGCACCCAGTCAACGAGAGACTGCTCACATATTAAGAAAAACACTTAGGAAAACGAAAACTTCTATTGCGAATAAAATCTAGCCTACCTGATGATTGGTTTTGAGACGACACTGGCCGGAGAAAAGGTGATGCATGCACGCGCAGACAGCGTCTTCTAGTTCTTTCGAATCATAGGCAAGTTTTACAAGTACCGTAAAGCCCTGGCTGTATTTTTCTTTCAGATGTTGCGAAGATCCGAGGCAGCGCATCGTTCCTGCTACCATGATACCAATACGATGGCAAAGTGCTTCGCACTCCTCCATTGAATGCGACGTTAGCAAAACCGCAGAGCCGAGATCGCGTTGGGCGGCGACTAACGTTGCCCAAATCTTGCGGCGCGCTATTGGGTCTACGCCGGCTGTCGGCTCGTCAAGATACAGCATACGTGGATTCCCGATCATGGCTATTGCTATCGATAGTTTGCGTTTATTGCCACCACTATATGTTCGTGTCAATTTGTTCGCATGCGGCGTCAGGTTCATCAGCTCGATCATGTAATCCACAATCGCTGGCGTCTGTTCGCGAGACAGACCTCGAAGCGCGCAGAACAGGTCCAACATCTCACGACCGGTCATGCAGTCGATAAGAGCATTGTCCTGGGGGCAATAACCAATATACCCCTGAAATTCGCGCAATCTTGTTCGTAAATCCGATTGCTGGATATAGGCGTTCCCACCTGATAACAATAGATCGCCAGTGAGCATGCCGAATATCGTACTTTTGCCGGCACCATTCACACCGAGAAGACCGAAACACTCCCTGTTACGCACGGAAAACGATACTTCATTCACCGCGCGGAAGGTTCCATAGTACTTGGTGATCGAGTGCACTAAAAGGGCGTAATCATTTGTTTTTTTTTCGCGCACTGCGTGATCGACGTGTTGTTGTTCGTTAATCACATCCGAGTCCTCTGGCTCAATCTTATCGTTGATTTGATCTGGAAAGAAATCAACATGTTAGTACACACCGCATTTATACTAACTGGAGCATACGGATTCATCGGCATGGTTGCGTGCATGGATTGCTTCCGTAAGTGTTAATGCCTTGCCAGTATCGATCGCGTTTTCACACCCGACGGTAATTCTCTATGAGTTATGTTTATCACAATTTGACCGTGTTACTTAGTTCTTAAAAAAATGCAATAAGGCGTTATAGCAAAAAGGGCATCCGTTATGTAGCGAGAGAACCCATCTGTGTTCGCTTAGCCGTGAGTTTTTGACTATCGGTCTTAACACGAGAGACACAGATAGAGGTGAATAAAAGGCAAAACAAATGTGAAGATCTAGCGTGGATGTTTACATCGGTGTAATTTGATGTATTCATTTAGAGGCCGGTCGAATTTAGCCATGAACACAGTTCGTTTTGCTGGGAGAAGCGAAGTCGTCCGATGTAATGCTTGACGTCGTCGCAGAACTACATAAACTCTGCTTTATATCCATAAAATTAATCGGTTAATGCGGAAAACGTTAATAAACACATTTTGGTATACAAAACATAAGTAAATAGATGCAGAACAAACCATGCACAAAGTTGCTTCCACCGAAGCGTCGTCGAAGCGCTTTAATGCTCAGAGCGTTACGGATGCCTTGATAATTGACAAACTCGAGAAGGACGACGGCCTGTTGCGAATACGTTTCCATGAGGACGAGAAAAGCAAAGCCGAAGATCCCAACTACCCACATTGCCATAATCTGGAACATCACTCCATTACGCGGGTCGAACGTAAACAGCGAAGTATGTTGGAAGCAAAAACCACTGGGACTGCCGGGACAAGCTGTAAGCAATTCAACATTTTTACCGAAATGCATTTTATTACCATCGTTTAAATGGCAGGCCCATTATGGCCAGCGACCTAGGTGCACCTGCAAGAAGCTAAGACTTTATTATGTGTACCATCTAGCCGCCAATGAGCTAACTATATATATCACGTACGGTGACAGCACGGTTCTATAAGTTCCTTCAATATAGTCGGGCAGAACACGTGCCGATCTTCATCTGCAATTCTATCGCAGATTTGTTTATCTTGCCCATTCACATGGATGTTGCCAAACGCGTACGCAGCTGCAAAGCCAGGAAAGAAGCTTGCCAGCTGAAATAAGAGACAAAAGCAATACAGATTTAAGACCCAGCGTATTGTTAATATGTGATGGAAACATCGATTCGCTAGAACTCATAGCGACACAAAGTAACGATAGTTCTACGTAACTCTCGTTCGTAACAAATAATACAGAAGCAAAGAAAAACATGTAACTAATCGAACTGCAGGTAAGAGTAGCTGCTAGTCTACCTTAATCCAGTAAGTAGACATAGTGTCGTTGAATACAGAGATCAGGTCCGCAATCTGGATGGCGGGCCCCACGAGAATAACAAGAACGACAGAAAGGACCTGGAGTGCCGATAGAGCTGAAGCTGAGTCCTGAAAGCAAGAAAAAAAAAAGTCAAACTTCTGCGTATTTGATTTTTTAATTCCACCAATCGAAAACACTGTGCTCCAAAGTGGTAAGAAGCCACCTTAATATCAATTTTTCATCTTGAGATCTCATCTTTCCAAGAGGTAAAGCCTGCTTGCCACAATTACACATTTACACACAGCGAGAAAACATAAAGTTTTCTGAAAGCTGAAGTGAACTTGTTGGATTACTACAGATTTACTGGATGATAACAGGATCGTTTCTCTCAGTTCTTTTTGAAGTCAAAACATGGGTAAAATGTAAAAGTACTGATTATGCAAATCCACAAAGCATTTTCCGGTTGAATTGGTTCCAGTTGTTTTTGCTTTCGATACTAGATTTTGTTTTGTCTATCTACGATTGGGTCGGTACACAGTTTACTCGACGACGGCTGCTAGTAAACTGTTGTAAATTTGGTTAATGTATAGTCCCAGTTATTTGTAATCTTAGTGAATTTTTCAAGGTAACTCTCTAATAGATAGTGCTTAAGGATTTGCAATCGAGCTCCGGAAAATCAAACAGCATATAGAATTACTACCAAGAGCGTAAATAACGGCGAAAAAATGGTCCAGTACAATAGTATCCTACTTATGCGTTTACCTTAAAGAGGTAGGCAAGGGCGTATATAAAAGGCAGCATAGAGACACCGTATGTGACAAGGATGAAAAACAAGGCCACTGAAAAGACAAAAAAGAACGACCCCAGATATAATTTATTGGCTACTATCAAGCTCATAATTAATATCATAAGGAAAAATTAGGCAGCCCAAATAGGACCACACTGCAGTGTCTGTCTTGATTCGTCCCTGGCACTACTGCGGAAAGCTCTCAGAAACTTTGAGCTTTGATCACGCGAACTCACAAGGAACATAATAATACAAATGAATGTAAAAAAGAGCGTGTTTGTCGACACGCTCTTTAAGCATCGATGATAGTAATGGAGTATTTGCCATTCAGGCGGAAAATAAGGAAGGCTTCATTAGTATCAGTGAGCTAGCGAAAATTGTAAGATTTCATAGTGTAGTATTTGTTTGACGGCTGGTCATTTAAATTCTGCTATTTTTTTTGGTGCACTGTTTTCCCTGACGAGCATGCATTCATCCACTATTTTTAGTGCTGAAGGCCAGTCTTTCCACAGCAAAACAGCAGACTCATCATGGGAAAAACCGTGCTTTTTTATCGCAATCCGAGCTAAGATTAGCTATTTCCTAACCTTTCTGCTCTAGGCAAACGCCTATTAAGGTTGAACATTTTCTTAATTGTCATCGTTGGCCCGCATATATTGCCAACTCTCACGTGGCTTTCAAAAAATCCGACAAAAACTTTCATGAAGATTCTCAATAAAGTTTGGATTTTAAAGCTTAGATTCATTAGATTTAAATTCATCAAATTGGCTCGAAAAGCCACTTTCGATACACCCGAGTCTTTGATACAGAAAATAAGAGCCGTCTTAAAGGCGAGAGTATCAAATGGCACTCAAGTTGTTTATGTAAGCACCAATAATATATCACATTGCGCAATAAGAGATTTTGTTTGAGAGGTGCAAAGGATCTATTATTGCGCAAACTCTTCGGCTGTTTTAAACTTGGGATTTTCAACCTGCTATCAGACCCAAATATAATGCCGTTGGATTCTTTAGGTGGCATATTTTCGGGACACTTTGTGAAAAGTTACCACCACCTACCAATATCGCTTAACGCACAGATACTTTTAAAATGTTATTTGCAGATTGAGATATATATAAGAAATCTGATGAGAAACTCGTATCTGGGTAAAGTCGGGCTAATTCCAAAAAAAAAAGGAAAAACTTATTCAGAAAAACGAAACGTTTCCATGTTAAGATTCGGCTGCATAATCGAATATTCTGATTTCGCACGTGGAGCTGAATCTCAATGCTTTAGGAAACGTACCTCGCGTTGTGACCTCTATTGAACAGTTATAATTGTTGACGAAAAAGTGTAATGAACAAACATCGTAAGCGCATACCTGTTGTCTCTCGGTAGGAGCGAAAGCCTTCTGAGGGATTTATAAGAACACAAATAACTACCATGCACATGATGGGTACAAGCATTATTCCCATATCAAAGAGCAAATTCGAGGCCACGTATGTAAGGCGGCTGACCCCAGACATCAGTTGGATCTGTAAACATCGGTATTACAAAATACAGCACATTTTAAATGGAGGGCAGTGATCAACGGTACTTTAAAAAAAGAGCTTCCAGCACTAACAAATAATTTAAGTGCATCTTAATAGAGTCAAAGAAGGACCGCCTTAGCACTAGAGAGACATTTTGTTCATTTTGTCCTGTATTGACACAACAGTTAGACTAAAGGGAAATTATCTTCCTGTATATTAAATATATAAGACTCTCTGCAAAATTTTTTTTATATTCGTACATGGAATAGTCGAAGGTTTTTGAACCCTTATAAAAATTAATTGATTAATGGCTAAGGGGCTAATGTATTCGAGGCGAACATACTTCAATAGCATGTAAGGTTACGAACGATTAAACGTTCATATAGGAACATAGCGATCAAGTTGTTTTTTTTTTCTGAATTCTTGAAGACTCTAACGCACGCTGCCAGGGATCTAGATCATTGCTTTTATTACAATCATTTTCATATTTAAAAACGGATGTCATACCGTTAAGAGTACGATGTAATTAATAATGTATGTAACCATTTGTTAAAACGTATCCACTAGTAGTGCTGCTAGTAGTTCCTCATTTTTTAATTTATATTTTTTGTTTAAATTAAAATTTCAATTTACCACCATGTAAGTTTCTGCCTCTATTTTTGGGTGTATTTATGGGTAAGCTACTCACCAGCTTGCTTTTGGTAACCCTTTCCTGGACGGGAAACATGATTGCAGAAGTGATTAGGTAAGACACCACAATGGCCATGAAAAGAGTCGATTTAAAGTGCACTGAATAAATACAGAACAGGAAAAAATAGTGTTAGAAGCCAGGGATCAGATATACTGTATATGATCATGCGCACAGCTGCGTATATCGTAACGATGTTGTTGAAAGGAAATAAAAGTTGAGGGAATAACTTGCATCAAGCAAGTGTCAAAGGTCTTTGCGAGATTAACTCATCTGAAGCATCCTATTGTATCGGCTGCAACTAGATAATACAATGTAAAGATATTGCAATGTTGTTTACGAGTAGTGATGTTTTGTTACTTTCTATTTTAACCCGCATTTTAAGCATTATATTTTTTTAAAGTGCCATTGAGAGCGTCTTCAAATTTTAGGCAGACAGAGAAAATCACAAGACTAGAGGCAACATGAAGACGAATCAAGTATTCTTTTAGTAAAGATGTAGTGACTGAGACACGCTAAGGCAGCTTGTATTAATATAAAAGGTAAAATTTATTAAAAATAATAATTAATGGTACGTGAGAATTGAACGCCTCATACTTCATCAGCAGACGACAAAAATCTTTTCATGGTTCTATTCTGCAAAATGTGATATCATCGAGAATTCGATCAAAATCTGGAAATCTATTTTTGATATTAACATTCGATATTGGTTTCCCTCTTCCCAGTGAGGCACTATATCGTTCTGAGCATATATATCAGTGGGACAAAGATAAATAGTGGATCTTCTTTAATAAAATAACGTACCTAGAAAAGCATACATGACCGGAGGAGAGCGATCCTTCCTTTCCAGTGGTCGATTGGTCACTCGCACGACGGCATCTTTTTTCGTAAGTTTGTTCAGTACCGCTTCCTGCCAGCGAGTTAGAACTGCTGCTCCCATATGGTAGGGTTCTCCATTAAACCACAAAGTCCGGTTTTCGCTGTTTTGCCCGCCCGCAGACCATTTCGATTTGTAATCACCTGGATGCTTGAGGCCTATAATTATCATGTTGCCAGTAACATTCGTGTCATGACTTTCAGTAACGACAAGAATGTTCATTAAACGTATCTCAAACAAATAGCGCGACGGTATATGCCACACGATATGTGTGATTAAAAAAAAAAACAAAAATGGAACTTTCTCGCGCATGGTAGCTTTGTGCTAACGTAAAGTAAACGATAAGCCTACTTTACTATAGACGTTTTTAAATTGTGCTGAATTCCACGTTAGAGACTATTCACTTTCGTATTGTTTGCCTTTGTAACCTCCATTTTCTCCTTTTCCCCAATTTCACAAGCCTGCCATATTGTATATTTTGTTTTCATCTCCCTACACTTGTTTTATTACTGCTTTTTAACTCTAAGTCTTCGTTTACAAACTCCCGAAAGAACTCACCAATATTAAGTAAATAAGTATTGACTTTGTCATCGGGAAGCTTTCGGCAGTTTACTCCATCACGTTTTAAGTTTTCGATGAAAGCATCCACGAGAATATCTTGTGATCCCGCGACAAAGCCCTCAGTCTCGCCGTAAATGCCGCGTAGGGAATAGGTCACCGACTAAAAGTTATTAATATTTTGGAAATTACATGTCGACCTATTATAAAGGCTTTTCTCTATATTACCAACAAGTAATAAGAAAATTTCGTGTCCTAATGATACAAAAAAAACGTATCGCGCAAGTAATTACCTTATCTACACTTTTGTAAGTTGGGGTATATGCCTTTAGTTAAAGAACTAAAGAATGCTTTATTTTTAGTTTTCTTGTTTACCTGATTTACCCCTAAGAAAGGAGGAAATCAGATAGGCACATCAAATGCATAGTCCACTATATGGGGCGGTCTAATTAAACATAAGTTTGTTTCGAAATCTCCAAAAAGTCAACACAAATTAACTGGCTGAAATTATAGGTAAAAATATACCCAACGGTAGGCTAATAGTAACGTGACCTTTTACCAGTCTGGCGATAAGATATTTTATATCGTCGAATATGAGAAATCTTTCGAGGACGATGGCCAACTACCTAGGTAACTGAACAACTCAGAATGAGCTTGACAGCAGCTAAATAATCATTCCCTTGAATAGCTTACACTTTATATGTAGAACGAATGTTGGCCTTTTCAAATGGAGTATCTAGATTCACTGTTTACGTAAAGCACAAAGCCTTATGAAGGGGCGCTGAAAAGCACGGATTCTGTCTTTACTTTTTGTTTTCATCACAATACACATCCCAAAGATTTTCTCTAATAATCAATCTTCCAACTATGTTTTCCTACTTAACAGTACATTTTACTGATGAGCTGTTGAATAGGAAGGCATAATCTAGTATATTAATGGGTAAATGTAATAAATTAATAAGACACTTTGCTACATGTGGATTCATAATAAAACCGAAAAAATAAAGCTTCCGACTTTCCCGCAAAGCTAACTCCCACAGTGCTGTAATTCCCAGTTTTACTAACCTGATTGTCGTCCTGCTTACCAGAGTCTGCAATGACACAGTAAGCACATGTTGCTATAAGCGGTATCAGCATTAGGTACGAAAGCATTTTCCATTCTCGGCGTATCGCGTGGAATCTGACAATGCAGATGAAAGTACAACAAAACACGAGATATACACAAATATATATGCCGCACATTCACCATTTTTGCCGCTTGTAGCAAAATCTGATATCAGTTAATTCTGTGGACCCGACTTAGAGGGGATACCAGAAATGGGTCAGATTTTTAGGGTTAGGTTAGGTTAAGTTGGCTGTTAGGTTAGGTTAGATTTTTGGCACACAGATTTTGACGGCGGTGGATTCAGTCGAATCATTTCAGCAAAATTGTGTGATTGTTTTAAATATTTTGAAGAAACACCCAGGGAGACTAATAAATATCGGACCAAGTTAGCATTTTTCCTAAAGCTACCCAGTTTCTCTGGAATAGGAGCCTTTACGCCTAACTCGAGTCTATAGAATTCACCGATGAATGCTAGATCATACTAGAAGTAAACAGCATGCACTATAGAAATCATTGGGAAAATTATCTTTCACAATGCATATAGTACTTTTTATTAAGTGAGACCTGTTTTGCGGAAATCGATTTAAAATTTCAGTATATAAGCCTGAATACGTCTGGTTTCAAGAAGCGAAAGTTCAGTAGTACAGGTCCCCAACTGAAATAAAACCTTTTACAACATGGCACGGCAGTGAGAACAGAAGGTGTAGACGTAGCCCATTTTTGCCATTACACTTTTTATGGAAAAAAAATAATCGTAAATCTGGACGCTAATGAACATCGCGCTTACTAAAATCCACATTAAATTAGAAAGTAGAGGATGTTAAAGAAAGACAATTAATCGCTTAATTATTTTTTTTTAATGTTGGATAGACAAAATGATGACTTACTTTTATCAATGATATACTGTTTATTGGAACCTAATAATATACAAATAGCATAAATATCAGTAAAACCAGTAATGTGCGACTATGCAAGGGCCACATGGCAGCGTTTAAAATGCTCTGACCCGTCTCGCCGTTGCATCAATCATTCGTTCTATATCTGGTTAATTTACTGTTATATAATGTCTTTTTAGTGACCAGGGTTTTACAATATACCTTTTTGTGAGTAGCCCTTCCAGTTGACGGACGGTTCGGGCAAAGCCAGGCGGAACCTGGTTGAAACGGGCGATATGTTCTGTAGCGAATCCGAAAAAGTGCAAAGAGGGAGTACACATTTATAGCTGATATTAACCCAGCCAAAGGCATAATGTATTGAAATAACAAACACGCTTCTTAAGTGACAGAAGCTAGTCAGACGGTTACGTAGAGCTCGGTAGGGGTACGACAGGGTTGCAAACGTACTCTGATTTTAAGTTAAACCTGAGTTTGTCTTAAATTTGTCTTAAGCCAGCGTTTTTCAACAAGCTTGATATAAAATCATATATTATTATGTGCAAAAAATGCTATTGAAAAGTATAGAGAAGGTTGTTCACGAAACCATGCTGCTATCGTCGTCATCATCATCATCCACAGCAGTAGATCAATGATAACAATAAACAGCTTCCGTCCGAATTGTTATACCATGATTTTCTGTACGAGTAGCAAGTCTCTACGGGCACAAATTTCGAATTATGTTACGCATGTTTATTCTGAATGTTCGCCATGATTGTCAAAATACCTTCTCGATTCTTCTTCAGATAGCATATTTTTGGATCCTTCTTACCAAAGCTAGCCATTGCATAAGCTGCGTCACGGTCTCCATTCATTTTGTGCGTGACCCTGTCTTTAGTCTTCTCAAAAATTCCTACGTCCTGTTCGCCAACTTTCATGAACACGTCCTCCATAGTTGTCACCGAGATACCGATATCTTCAACCTAAAATATGAGAAACAGGACATTTGAAGCGTGTGCGCTCAAGTAGCAGTTAATTGACAGCAGGTTGTTGTAGCAAACGTGTTTCGTTAGCACCTGCAGCTTACAAAGTGATTACGACTAATGGCTATCGGAAAGCGTATTATTGAAATTGCTCCTGTGGTGCTTACCTCAAGATTATCTTTGACCATCTCTAGATGTTTAAAAAGATCAATTAGCAGCTGGTTTTCAGGAAAGCCGATGTTAATGCAGAATTCATAGCCAAGATTAGAGGTGATAAATACTCGTTCGTTAGCCTTCAGCACTTGTTTCACATCTGTCAGGACCCGCTGAACGTCGGTGTTGCGGTGACTTTTGGTAAAAGTAAGCTTATAACCAGTTTCTGCAACGTACGGAAAATAAGCAAGTGAGTGACACTTCACAACTATAGGAAAATTCATTGATTAAACGACAATGGTTATTTGCATACGGGACAAGTCATAATAGGCGATTTTAGATTGAGAGAAGATTTTTTGAAGGGTCGTATATCGGAGTCATAACATGCAGCACAGCGTACCGAATTTTCGCTTGAGGAACATTGGCGATCCCGCGCACATCAGATATCCATTGGCCAGAAAAGCGATACGATCCCCAAGTACGTCAGCTTCTTCCATATAGTGAGTCGTCATAAGTACGGTTCGATTCTGTCGCTCTTCTTGTAACAAAGTCCATACGCCTCGACGAGCTTCCGGATCCATGCCGGTCGTTGGTTCATCCAGAATTAAGATCTGATCGTCGGGGTACACGAAAACGCTTAGACGGTGATTCTTTCGACAGTGCATAGACATCAAGTGATCTTAAAAAAACTGTTGTCATACGTTGTTTTTCACATGGTATAATATTCCAAAAAGAGCATGTTAGGGAGCACAGTTTAACACTTCTTGAAGTGCTTATAAGGATAACGGGATTTTCCGTGATACTTGCCTTACTTCCACCAACCATCGCATTGGCCAAGCTGAGTTTTCTTTTTATTCCGCCAGACAGGTTCTTGGCTAGGGTTTCAACCTTGTCGGACAGACCAAGTTTGTGAAGAAGCCTGTAAATCTCATTTGAATTAGCTTTAATGGGCACACCCTTGAGCGATGCGAAGAAATTTAAATGCTCAATAACTGTAAGCTCGTCAAAGAGGACGTTATGTTGGAGACAAAGGCCAATTCCTGATCTTGCCCGACGAGTATCTTTCCTCACGTTGTATCCATTGATATGCACTTCGCCTTCTGTTGGAGGGAATAACCCTGTAAGAATGTTCATCGCAGTAGTTTTGCCAGCCCCGTTGTGACCCAGAAGCATTGTGATCTGGTTAGCATAAAGATCCAATGAGAGATCGTCGACAGCGCGAACTGGTCCAAAATTATGCGAAACGTGACGCAAACGTATTACCGGCTCCCCGGCATTGCACACGGGCTCCACCGTTTCAAAATCTGCAACGGAGGCGGCAGAAGAAGTCGCAAGTAAAATACCCCTACAGTGGCAAAAATGCAGCTACGTTTTTCAATTTAAACACGGTTTTAAGAATTAGTATGTCGCTGTCTGTTAAATCGCTCCTTTCTTTTAGAGACTTCATTGTCTGAGTTTATATTTCGAGTGGATACTGGAGTGCCGCATACCACACAAACAAAACAATAATATTGAACGTTGCCCCCATATCGTTATCGAAGTGCAAGGAAAAATATTAACGGACGATAATTAGGAACGTGCGTGATACTAACCTTCCACATCGTCTTGGTTTACGGGGCTCCTCACTGATTGTTCCTTACCACAAAACCAGTAAGACTTGTGGAGAAAGAAAAAAGGCTCCTTTGGCACACCATATTGCCACGGAATGACCGCATCTAGATACCACGTTAAAAGTAGGTAGAGTCCCCACGAAAAAATCATTGTAAGAAGGATAGTTAAAGGTGAAACGTTGTCACCTGGAATAACTGTTTGACCTATTGTCGACCAGTGAAGTCCTTTACCTGAAATAGCAGATCAAGATAGCAAAAGAATTGTATTTTACATTCGTAAGACTACGGCAAAAACTAATAATTAACATTTTGGCGAATTCCATGGCCATGGAACCACATGCGCGCAGCGCCTTTCCATGGAAATTGTTGCGCACACTTAAAGAATGACTCGAGCGTACAAATCTCATTTTATAACTTTTATCAATAAATATTATTGAATGTAAGTCCAAGGCTGAATTGACACCAGTTTTCATAAAACAAGTATGACTTTTTGCATCTTCGACTGTACTTAGGATAGAGTTCTTTTGCAGGATGGTGAGAGAAAGAATTGGAAACACAATTTTTTTAGTGGTGTTAGTAGCATTCTTCAATGATACAAGATCAGATTAGTATGAACGTATCAGTGTTCTGCTTCAACTTAGCCAACTGCGCACCGCCACTACTGGAGAAACCGACGGTGTAAGGTAATTATTACTTCTAGCAGATGCTTGTTGTTCGTTATGATCATAAACACGTCTTGTAAACGGTAAGCATTCACATCTACAAATAACCTAAAAGCAGTAGCATGCAAGTTGAATATTCGATAAATATGGTAATCACTTGCAGGTAGCCGGTACAATCAATGTCAGGGAGCTTCATAAATAATTTGTTTTAATATTCAATCATCCGTATATTCACACAAGCATTCGCAATGTGTTTTTGACTAAATATCGCTAAGTTAGTTAGAGAAGAGCCAAGAAAAAGGGCATAAAAAATAAGCCTCCAGCTTACGGTATACTGATCATCATTGCAAAATGTACTGGAGCTTTTGTGTCCTCACGTTGGTCACTAAAAAAGCCCGGCTAAAACATATTGGAAAAGGAACAACACACATAAAAAATAAACAGTTCATTATAAAACTAATAATACTATGCGTTTAATCAAGTTTTGTATTCAAAACGAATCCCAGAGTAATAATCGTTTGACTACGTGCCACTCACCAATTTCTTCGGTGTAAATTATTAGCTTTAAAAGCCATTGAATTCCAAAAAATGGTATCAGAGAAGTAAAAATCTTGACGGCGGCGGGCTTAGCAGCGTAGTCTGAGACCGAGGATTCCATCGGACGGTCAAGGACGGCCCAGTATAATATACAAGTTCCGATCACGAGCAGAATCGTAATCAAAGAGCCTGCATTCGCTGTAATCCAGTCAGAGTCAAACATAAAGGAAAACGAAATATAGAATCATCAGTACTGTTCCAAATTTTAAATGAGCATACTCATCGATAAAGTTGTCTGATACTATATTCCGAAATATATCAAATCGATACGACGCTCAAGGGTCGGCAACGTACGCGAGTTGATGAGCGTGCACACCACTAGCACGATGAGAATGGCTCCCACAGTGAACACAAAGAGCATGGTGAAAACCAGGCTCCAATCTGTGAACACTATTGCCGCGTGCTCGCCGGTGCATAAACCCAGGGTCAGAATGACGCAAATGGGAATACCCGTAGACAGTCCGACGAGAAGACAGTTGACCCAGTAGACAACGTCCGTCATACCCATCATGCGTATCATTTCCTACAGGAATTAAACAAGCAAAGTCGAGTGCAGCGTGACTATTAATGTGTTTTGTTCTTGAGTTATGCATCAGAAGGTGCGCAGTCTATGACTGTGCTGATGAATTAGTACGTAATCATCGATTCGTCTAATGGAATCTTAAAGAGTCATATGAGGCAAAGCAACACGTCAAAACGTATCCCCAGGAACTTAAAAAAACACCAAATAGAATGCCTTTATGGAAAAGAGTCTAAGATCATGGTCTTTCTAACTTTTTTTTATGTATACGGAAGTATTTCCTGTGCCCTTAATGTCGGGTCCAATTTACTGCCAGTGCGTTTATTACGGTATTTATGATTTGCTCGGTTTTTACTCTACTTCAGTCTTACGTAGGTACGAGTAGAGTGTATCAAGCGTTTGACTCGTAATCTTCTCGTTAAGGACGAATGAAGCGTCCAGTGGTTCAGCGTACCCTTAGACGACTTTCTCTTTCAGCGATGTTGTTTCTCGCGAACCCAAACAAAAATAGCACATAAGTTGTTGAGGCCATTGCTCCTCCAAGCAAACCGAACAGAACGAAGAATGAAACGTCTTTGCCGTCTGGTGTCAACTGGTCCGACGAAAAGTATTTTTGCGATGGGAACGGTTGCATCAAGGGCTCGTCCTCGGATGGCAGTTTTATTAGGTAATGATCTAGATGTGCCTGGAAAAGAAAATAACAGATGCAACAATATATTTTCTAAATGTTCTAAGTTTGAAGGATAAGAAGAATGATTCTTTAGTTTCATAGAAAAAAAAAACTCCAAGAATAGGAAGAAAATAATAATAATCAAAACGCATATAACGGGTCAGCTTGTTTGTGAAACCCGGAATACATATATTTATTGTTTAATTAACAGCAGCCGGATTCCTACAAGCAATTAAGGTAAGATTCGATGTTAGTTTAGAAAGCATAAACCGCAACTAGGTCTTCCTTGGTATCTTTGAAAAGAATGTTCAAAGAGCTCGTCAATGTGTTGCTGAATGTATGGGCGTTAGTAATCCCAGAATCGACTGCTGAACTATTATAAAAAGCACATTTGAAAATTTCAAAGTTCTTTTTTTTCATCATATACATATACGGAAATATTGACAACATACCTTTGCGAGAAAACCTTATAGAGCGAGCGTTACTTGTGCTACTTACTTTGAAAAAGGCGTACAAAGTGGGCCAAAGTAGTGTGCGTTCATAGGCGGACGGGTCCATATAGAAAGATGGCGTTCTTGGCGCAGTTGAGTGACTGTACTTAAGGCCCACACCCATATTATACAAATCGGAGAACTGCAGCAGGTATTCGAGTCTGTTCAGATCCGGCTGATCAGGGAACACAACGGCGAGATCGACATTCGTAGCGTTTACCAAATACTGGTCAAGCTTGGAGATGTTAGCGAAAGGTTTTAGGTTATCTGCCGAGTGGAGTGAAACAACAAACTTAATAGGTACAATTAACAATAAACGACATAAACGAACGAAACTACGTACTAGATATCTCTTCGACTCGATGGTATAACGCAAGCTTCATTTGACAAAAACACTCTTAAAGCATTGGTTTACATGTCCGTACGTTAACAACAATGTGCGGCTTCTGTCGACATTTTGAAACCATAAAACTCATCCGTCATTATAGCTTATTTTAGTTTTGTGCAGGGAATACCGTATTCTATCTCTGCGAATGTAAGTTGGTCCAAGCTGCAATACACAAGCTGTCATGCAAATAGCTATTTGGAAGCGCAACTCTTGCCTCTTTCCTTATATGAAATACAATCCTTAAGAATTGGTATTCCTCCATCGCCTGATATCTGCTATTTATGGCATCGGAAACGAATTATATCTTCCGTGGTCTGTGAAACACTGGTACATTATTACCAAGATCAGCAAAAAAACTAACGGCTATTTAGATTTACTCTTTGTCCTATTGCGCTTCCTATCGCTGCAACATAGGCCAAGTTTGAGTACCAAATAAACAAGCCGTCACTTCTCAAAGGACTCGGTCACTTTAAATACTCATGAGCTGCGCCCTGTCGTGCAGTCAATGTATTGCCATACAGTGTTCACACAGCTAACTTCTGTGTGCCCAATTTTTTATTTGCAGAGTCAATCTTTTTGTATTTGTCTCCGTATTGCAAGGTATAGTATCCATTTTGATTTCAACTCATTTCAGAATTTGGTGCGGGATCGCTTACACGCATACAACAAGAGCTAAAACTCAGCGAAATTACGAGGCTTTGTTAACAACAAAAAATATCAATCCTTAGAATTATTACACTTGTTGGGGTTTCCGAAGACGCTATTCATGATGTCGTTTCCATATTGCTTGTCGGGTGCGTAGGCTATTGTTGAAGGTTTAGATCTCTGTGGAAAGCTAATATCCGCCTTCGTAAATGGACCCATAGGGTCATACTTCTGTGGATCGTGCCACTTTCCTGTTGAGTTTGGGAACTGGCTCCGTATGTATGCCACTAGCACTGTAAAGAAACACATCCAATTATACAAGTTTATGCAGATAATTAGCACTAGTAATTATGAAATCTGCATGTAAAAAAGTTAGAAAAGAAGGCCAGCCAATGTGTTAGACGTTTCTATTTTGGTTTTAGAAATACACAGGAGTGATTTCAGCGAAAAACATTTTTCAATTGAAATATGTAGAAATAGATGTAGAAGTGTCTCTAATAATCCTGAGTAGTTTAGCTCATTCATTCTGGACATTTATTTTGTAGTGCTGCCGCTCAGTATGACGCACGCGGCCTCTGCGCTAAGTGTTCCGTTCATTTTATTATTAATTAACGTCTAGTACTAATATGACAGGAAAAATGTGTTTACGTTACTAAATAGTTTTATACTAAATGGCCTAAAAATAACTGATTGAAGTGAAAAATAGGTTGAAAAACTTACAAACATATATTACGGGCATGACGAGCTCCAAAAGGGAAATGATGTAGTGTCGCTTCAGCTTCTGTATCACAACATCCTTATAAAACAGGGCCGTGAGTTGACGGCCAAAGCCCATGTTAGTAGCCTGCAATCAATCCGCTGCCAATAATATGAATTCTGGTGGCACACCGGCTGAGGTTTGGGCTCTGCGCCCTTTATAAGGCGGACGGCCCCTCCCTGAAGAACAAAATATTACCAGCGTTTAGCCAATATGCGAAATACACTTTGACTAGTACTATACGATCATGCTCTCGAAAATGTCTCTACTTGGCTACCAATTTTCCTATCGCTAAGTCTCCTAGGTGAGTGTTAATTATCTCAAATGTTTACCTGTAGCTTATTGCATAAGCATGGCGGTAAACACAACGCCGGAAGATGCCGAACTCAAGTGCAATGTTGTATCGCTTGCTTCCTAAGGGTAGCTTTCACTTAATAGGTAAATGAGGGTCGCTGGGAAGACCATTTTATATCTTATTGCCTATAGTAGTATTACGTATTTGCCTGAGACAATAAACATGCCTTTGAAGATCTATATTTGAAATTATATCTGTTCTATAAACAGATATTCAAGCTAAATGCATACTGAATTTCAGTGCAACCTAAGCTAGACAGGGTTTGTTTTTAAAACACCCTTCAACGAATTCGGCTAAAGAATTTGAACCTCCCGTTCTTTTTGCCTACTTAATTTATTAATGTATAAACCCATATTTATACCATTTAAGCCGATGAGCTCAACGTTTGGCGGGAGCATATACCGCTGATATTTAGTGAATTCATCATTGCAGGAGAATTCCTACCGGGACGACCTTTGCATAACGTCCGAAATGCATATCGCTTATTGGCTCTTAAATGTCTGAGTCGTCAACATGTTCTAGTAATATGTAAGCAATTAGTATTTATTAGCTGGGCGTCTCCCAAACAAATTTGACCCCCCTGTGCTTACATATTCATTTTGGATAATTCTGAGCAAAAAATAGGCAATAAAGCCGCGTAAAATCCAAATTTTTAATGTTTAGTGAACCAATAAGACACAATCTTTTAGTTATAGAAAAGGTTGTTCTACCTCCTGCCTCTATCGCTTTATATTGCTTACTTAAACTGAAGCGCATCTGTATCTATAAAAGTGTAATATAAAGGTTGCTTTTCGCTAAGTATTAAAAGACGAAGAGCGTTCATTAGAAATATACAGCGTATTCTGCAATCGAGAATAATTATGGTCCTTGGCAAGCGTGTAAGCCTTCGGAACCCACTCCGTTATGCTGTACCTTAATGACATTCAGCAGCAGCGTCTGAATATCAATTTGAAAGAAACATATTTAACATTTTAGTCTTCATCAACGATTGCCGTTCTAGTCATAACAGGACCCTACCGAATTTGTTCATCGATCCTGGTTCAGTCGACAGCTATTTCGTGGGAGGCAGATCGCGCTCTAGTAGCCAATTTTATAAATAAGTCATTGCAAAGTGAGAAAACGTAACCCTATTTACTTTTATCTAACGCAACGGGCTTTCGCTTCCGTGTACGCTATTTGCACCTAAACGCACGCATAATAGTGATAAACACAGTTTTTCTTTGTGATGTATTACAGACTTTGATTATCAAATACGTCTAGATGTCAACAAGCACGAAGTTACATTGTGTTATAAGGTTTATTGTAATAAAATACCGATTGATAACTTTGTATAATACACGAGTAAGTATGGCACAAATGCAAATTAATTGAATATTACTATTATTTTTTTCTTGTGCAATTTTTCCATTTGTTTAACAACGCGGTGATGTACTTCGGAAAGAGTATGGCGTAGTTTCTTTGAGTGATCAAATAGAAGAGATATTCCTTGAATAGATGTTATCTAAACAACTGGTCATAATTGCTCGATATTGAATGTCTGTTTCTATAAGTCAAGGTTTCGTTACCAAATATCAAATCTGCTTAAAACAGATTTGCTTCATCTTAGTAGATTAAGACGAGCTTCTATTCGTGATTCAGTCTCATTGCCTCGCCCGAAAAAAAAAAGGCACGATCTGTTCTCAATGGCACGAGTCGACTTTTCTGCACTCTTTGATGACGGATACTTTTATTTATATTTCATTATATATTCCCCCTAGTATTTTTGTTCGAAAGGCATTGACAAAGAAAAATAACAAACTTCAGCAAATTGGGAATGTGTAGCTGCTTGAAAATTCGGTATTTGCCGTACAAGAACATAGGGTCTTAACACCAACAGTTTTCATAATTTTCGACTTCGAACTGCATGAGGTAAAAAACCTTTATGAAAATATCAATATGGGAGACAAGAATAGTTCAACTTGATATATAATATTTACAAGCTGAAGCCGGATTTGCTTCTAAATAGTGGTACCAACTGAATTTACGTTAGAAGACGATAGAAAAGTATTTACGCCAACACTTTCGCTGACATATTATATAAATCTTACTACTTGCATTGTTTCTAAAAATAACTCAGTAAGCGATTACAATACGTACGGATATTACGGACGTCTGTTCTCAACTGAAAATCTTCTTTGAAACTATACACAGAATTAACACAGCAGCAAGCCAAAAGTGTTCTCTGAGAATTAGCATCAATAATTTTAATCTAACTCAACAATTTCTATTTAACAAGTGCATTTTATACACGCTGGCATACAGCTAAGGTTCGAAGAATATAAAGTTTTGTCTGATAGTAGTACAGGGTGGTACACTTAAAGCTAAAGCGAATATATTAAATATAGCTTTTCCTCTGTTATGAAACTGCAGCACAGTGGTATCCATTGCACTCGAGAAGGTACTTCTTTCATGGCTAAAGGCAAAATATTTTATCCGTGCAAAGCGAACTCATTGCTAAGAGTACATCGCATGAATCATGCAATTTGCGGCTTTTGTTGTCGAAAGGGATCTCGACTAGTCCATTTGGTGGGACGCATGCAGGAGCCGATAGCCGGAATTTTATCTGACTTAGTCATATTTATGCGTAAAACAGTGCAGATTGAGCAAAAACTCAACGAACTACATCGAGTTGCTGTAGGCATTGCTACTTTGTATAAGCTAATTGTTGTACTTTGATGGATTCTTACAAACATGCGTTCAATGTTTATATTACGTACATGCCTCCATCTAGTTAGCTCGATTGTTCTGAGTCATTAATAGTAATGTTTGATGATCACTGCCCTGAAAAGATTACAAATATCTGGTTTCGCCTATGTATAACAAATGTAGCAACGAGAACCGAAGGAAGAAGGAACGTAGAACACTGAATCTTCATTTCGGCGGTCAGAATCGCACCGCCTCGATTGACTGAGGAGACGAGCATTTAAACTGTATTAATCATATGCTTTTTACCTGGATAATATATAGTCTATCAGAATTCTATTCTATTCAGTCTATAAATTCAGCGGAGGCCCAAAAAAGTACGCTTTGTCTCACGCATCCCAACAGCAGCCGGACCTCCCAGCGACTGCTTATCCGGAAACGTTGTTTCCTCTAATAGTCGCAACTTGCCGGTGACTTTGGATTTCACTAGAAGCGCTTAAGAGCTTCAGCCGATTCCATGCATGCTTAATCTACATCCCGATAGAAAGGGTTTTAAAAGCCACTAAAATGCGCTCCCTGTCTACACTCGACTGCTTTTAGGCATTAGATACATATAGTAACTAGTAGGAGTGATAGAATAACTAATAGCTCAAGTTGAATTTGTTGAACACATATTGGGAATTTATGCTGCCAACTAATGTATCAACAGAACGAAAAGCTAGAATGATTGATTACTGTAAGCATACACATTTGCAGTAAGTACAAAATCCAGTGTTTCAACAGATCTAGCAAGGTTTTCTAGCGCTATGCCACTATAACAAGTGTTTTTAAAAACAACTCCTAATCAGCTGAATCTGTTCTACTATCTATTTACAGGCTAAATCCGAACTGAGAGTCTGATTTTTTGTTTTGCTGTAATAAAAAAAATATTCTCACATAATCAATTGCTATGGCGCGAAATACTCTCGAACCAATAGACACCATCCGTTCGACGTCCCTTTGAACTATATATAATCGACTTACTCCGAGTTGAAATCAACAACTTCTCGTCTGCGGAAGCCAGCTCGAACAACACCGTTCACACAGCTCAGGCAAGTATTCGGCGTTCTTCAATGCAGCTATACTATCTTTCTTTGTAGCTAATCATTGTTCTGCCAATTCCAAGCACTGGTAATCATTTCACCACCGTTAATACCTCCTTTGCACCAGCAGCCACAAGCAGTCGCAAGTTGTAATATTTTTAATATACGTTACGTAACGGAAACGAATCTCTCTCAGATAAGGCTACCTGACAGTCTTCATCATTCCGGTCGTGTTTCAAACACTGTTGCATTTGCAGGTGCTCGATGCTTGGATGCGTACTTTCGTGGGATTATTAAGCACACAAGAATACCAGCGGCAGCCAACAGTCATAACATTAATCTGTATGTATTTGTCGGATCGGTGTAGTTGCGCTCGTCTTACATCGAAAAGCTTCTGCTCTGGCGCCACGTAATCAGCTAGATGTTGGCGTCAACACCGCAGACGAAAAATGACGAGAAAGATAATATTGGGTGTTCGGTATCTTGTCAGTGGGAGGCCTTTAGAGTCTAGCACTGGCAATACGTGGTAACTGAGCGTGTTTAACTTGCGTATTTAATGAAGGGCCGTTTTTATTTATTCTTCGGAAGACCAATATTAATAAATTGTGTTAGAAGGAAGTTAAATGTTGAAACATGTTAAAGAATGAAGTACGGAATGACTCCGTTTTCTAGCCTTTACCCGCTTGAAAAGTAAATGCAGATACTGACATATTACTACTAGGTATATTGATATACTACTACTGCAGTTTTACTGCAACTGTTTGTTTTATTTAAGAATAGACTGACCAGAAGATGAAGAATAAGATTAGTCGTGTTAATTATAAGTGTTTTTGCTTTATCGATATTTGATAAGTGTGCACATTATGCGCGAATAATAATCAGCAACATGCTAAATTTAATAGGGGCTTCTGAAATATTTAGCACGCTATTTGAATATAATGCAAACAATATAAACAAAAGCCTTGAAATCTGGTTAGTACCACCGACACGCATCGACAACCTATAGAAGATATTTTAGTGGTGACTATTTGAATGCTTATGGAAAAATGTATAGAAACCAATCTTTCTGTGATTGAACTGCATGTGCAACTGCACAGCGCAGCGATGCTGTGCATTTCCTGAAGTACGGACATTTCTTAAGTACGTTGAAAAACTTGCGCTTTCTCCATCAAGTAGGTGCAACTATACCCGCACTTTGCACGCTGATATGAAGTCACCACAATGATTTAGCCCATTTTATACTTGCCTATCTGCAGGACGCTGCCTAATGTATCGAAAACTTGTTTGAAACACACGGATAAAGAAAATCAAGCTTTTCGAAATTATTAAATCTATTCACACATGAATCGTATTTATACTATACAAATTATAAGAGCATTTGACATATCCAGTAAAGTAAGTTTGTACTAGGTCTGTACCAGGCAAAACATTACTATGTCAATTTTCTAAAACCAAGCGTATTTACAGTATATTGGCCACATGCCATACGTAAACCATATTTATAAGATTATTCGGCAACGGTGCTTTATATAGCACTGGAAATTTTTATAGATTATCTGAATCTATGCTCACTGCTTGTAGAACCGGCGATCTCTTTTCTGACGACTTAATTCTTCCGTTTAGGATGATCAGGATCACGAACAAAAAAACCAAACAACCTCCACCTTCATTGCTCTAAATAGCTTGTCTTATTCTGTGAATGGCTCATACGCTTTAAACTCAGCATACATTTCAATATGGTTCTTAGTGAGTCACTGCAACAATGATCTTTATCGCTTTGAATTTCCGCAGAGTCTGCACAGCGTCAAATCGTGGCATTATGGTGTTGAACGTGCTCTTTAACAATCTGCTTTAGCTGTCCATCATTACATACAAGATAGAACTAGCAATCGCTAATGAACAATAATGAGGCGCTTAGTAAGAACCGCAGTGCGACTGTCGACTCTGATAGCTGAATACTCGTATGTTTCAAATAATAGGTGAACTTACTGCAAAGTGATAGCGACTAGCGTCTCTAAGTTTCACGGTTAACTTGGTCGCATCCTATAGTGTTTATAGTAATTGTTGTACATGAAGCATATAGACGTCGGACAGGAACACTCCTATAATAGGTATCAAATAAGTTGTAGAAGTGCTAATTAAATTTTAGTTTATTTTTGATCAAGAAAACAATAGACGCTATATGTAGATACTAAACTGTAGGATACGCGAAAACGTCTAGGTCATTTACCAGCGTGATTTGCCTGTTCGAATATCATTGCCAACTAATGATTATGTTTGACATGTCGTTTCTCTTCTTACTTTGGCTTTTACTAAAATTTCGATTAATTTCTTAGATATATTTATTCTCAAGTATAAGCTCCATTGGCACTCGCTAGTGCCAACGGAGTTTATACTTGTAATCGCGATACTTGTAATCACAGATTGTTTCCCTGTGTAGCGTCTCGCTTTATTATGCATCCCACAGAGCAATCCCTTCATATCTCGTGCAGGAGCTGGTCTTGTTTAGAGAAAGGTGACAAACACGTATTGAGATAACAAAGGCAATGATGGATTTCTATGCTTTTGGAATATACTACATCATACCTAGGTATAGTAAAGGGCCTCTCGAGCTTTAGCAAATTTAGAAAGTAGCTTCGGTTTGTAGTATGTTTATATCAATTCAATAATGGATCTATTTACTAACCTGCGTTCAAGTATTAGAAAGTATCAATAAAGTAGGCTTATTCCGTGTGGTACGCAGAGAAATTTCCCAATATAATTCCTATAGAAAAACTAAATTTCGTACTTCTTGATTATTTTAACTATTATTAAAAATTTCTCGTTCTTAGTTTCGTAAACAAGTCATCGTGTGCGACATTACTTTACCTATGCTCCATTAACAGGTGTTGGACGTTCATCCGCCCGTTCCATCATCCACACATACGTTCATGCACTTCTAACAAGTAAACCGGTGCAAGCGACCAGCTCTCCGATGAGTCTTTCGTCTTGCTTATTATTCAGCACACATTTTTGATTCGGTAGAGTGCACTACTATTTTGTGCGTTTCGCATTTGAGATCCGGCGGTAATTGCGAACTGTCTCTGGTGTTTGGTAGCGTGCTGTATTGCGACTGGTGTGACCGTAACGGCTAATTGCTAGTCGTTTATGTTCTGTTACCCCTTTTCAGCCAAGGGTGAGTTGACGGTGGCATGTATTATGGCTTATTGTTACAAATGGATTCTGTCGTGAAGCACTAGAAATTTGAAAAAAAAAAAAGAAATTCTCTATTTAAGTAGGAATCATTTGCCCATTCAATTTAGGTGCTGTCGCCTGCACTGAAAATGATCCCGTCCAATGCGTGGTCGTTGTTGTGACGAAACTTAGAAATATTGATTTTGGACGCAAAGTTTTTTAATACTTCTGTGTACTTTCTCTGATTTTGAAGTGCTGCGTTGTTGACCTGTATGTGTGTAGTATTTTGATAACTACCAGCAAGTGTGAATAGATGAAATACATTGAAGAATTATCGGTAAGCGCCGATTTATGAGCCGTGAATTCATATCTGTAGAGACGAAAGTGTTCATTGAAAGCTGTCAATTAAATTAATAGATAATTCATTCTGCCGAAAGCTTCCATTAATTTCACAAAGGATATATTCATTTTAATTTTTTCGTCAAAGACGAAATGAATTAGGCTCGCCGTTCTCCTATCAACGTTCATTCAGAGTAGAGCATTACGCCCATTGGAAGCGAATGACGCTGAATTCTTTTTTCATATTTGTAAACGGGAATAGAAACCACTGAGGTACTATCATCTGTTTAACAGTCCTTCGGAGGTAAATATTTTTAGAAATGAAAAATTTGGCATATTCATTAGAGGAAAAAATATTGTTGCTTATAAGTATGTGATTAAATTAATTAAAAACATCTAACTATAACCATGTTTAATGTGTACTTCGCGCACAATATGTAATTGCGTATTTTGTAGATTGTAATAATAGATTTGTCCACTAGATATGTACACTTCTTTCTAACGTAAAGTTTCTAAAATTCCATAGAGTGAGTATTATAACTGTAATTACTACTAAGTTATTACTACTATTAATTTGATAATAGTCATACTAAAATTTTTAATGTGTATCAATAAATAGAGTGAGAACTGATATCTCTGCTATCACTACTCTACGTTCAGTATACAAAATATGGCATTTAAATTGAGAATTTTTCTCATATTTTATTTTTAAAACTGTATCTAAATAGCAACAGAGAGTGCAACGGAATTACTTATAGCACATATGTCTTAAAAAGTAATTCCTGAAGTTCACGTTTATTTAACATCATCGCTATTCACCATAGTACAGCTTTGATTTGGTTTTTAAACCACTAACTAGTTATTTTACTTCCTATAAATATCATTTTGTTCATCTGCAAAGAAGTCTTTATTGTTAACCGCGTGTCCAATGATATTGATAAAGGCAACCTCGGTAACATGTCGCTCAGACGCGCTGTATACGACAAATTCCTGCAGAACTAACTTCTAGGCTGATAGCAGGCCAAGAGTTCTAAAAGTGCAAGATTTTAAAAATACCTGAAAAGCAAAAAGCGCAAAAAGTCTTAAAAAAATTAACATTTGAAACTTACCTATACGGCCCAATTGACACAAGATTAATTTACTTTCTCCACATGGCCATTAATCCTTGTAACAAAAATTATCTTGCAAGCCATTTTGGTATATTTTTGAGTGCTTTAAATCTAAAATCTATTGAATATAGTGTGGAGACTGCCTCATAGAAGTATGCCTCGGATCCCTCAGAAGTCACATAAAACCAGCAATCATGTAAACCATCTATTCCGAGCAAAAAGTTATGTTTTTGATTTGGTGAGGGTTCGTCCAGTGCGAAGAGACTGGGTAATTACCTTTTTTTGCTTAAGTTACTTAAAGAAAAACGACACATTGTTTTTCACCATGAAAGGTTTATTTTTTTGTTCTAAAAAGGAACAAGCTTCCTTCTAGTACTAAGAGTAGCGGATGAACGCGTCCTTCTCACGACAAAGACACTGCTAAAGTGTGTCCCAGTTTAGGTGCGGCACCCTGTATACATATTAGAAAATTTTTACGACCCAATTATACATAGCCTACAATTCAACCGATCGTAATCGAATATAATAGGATGTTTTTTTTTCAATCTCGCAGTAAAATGAGTGGAAAAAGCAAAAGACGGGCACCAGCGCGCCATAACGGAGGGCGACGAGATCAGGCGGCGTCTCAGGAAACCGGAACGGCCGCTTCTATATTTCCGTCGACAGTGCCGTCCGCAGAAAAGCCTTTACCTTCCCAGAACAGTAACATCACTCCCAAGGTAACTGGATCAAAAATCTAGGTACCTCCTGAAGCGCTTTCCTTCTGCCAAAAATTAAGAAACATAAACGGAAGAAGATTAATCCGTTTTTTTTACCTATTCGTTTTTAGTGTTTGATTTTTTAAATGAAAAAGTATCATCGACAGTTAGCATCGCGTTGTTTGGAATGGCAAAATAGTCAATAGAAGAAAAGGAAGATTTCTCTGTTGATGTATATGCTAAGCTAGACTATTAAGTACGTGGTTTCTTGATAATATATAATCTATTCTAATGTAGAAACGCATTTTCTGCTTCCACCAGGTGGACATCCGAATGATGAAACCGATATCGGAATCTATTCTTCAGTATCGGATCCTGCAGCATGGTCACAAAACGGTTAAACGTGCCAGACATAAGAAAGCGACAGAGGTTACTTTTCGAGGCGACCCAGACTACAGCCAACAAGGAGAGCAGACCCGAGTCGTCGTCGACATTCGTGGTACTTTTATGCATCTGCAGATGAATCATTTGAAATACCTCGTTTAACATATAATTATTTTCATCTAAAACGCCCCGCAGTTTGTCCTTAAAAACACTTTATGTAAAAACACTGTTTCTATTCTACAATTCTTTCGTCCGAAACATTTTTTTAATCTACAGTCTTCTACCAAGAACTATAGTTCCATAATTTATTCTGGTAGCAGTAATACATATGCTAAATATTAAAGTAGATACGAATTTGCTCTTAGCGAAATCACTAGTCGCCTAGCAACATTACTCGTACAATTGCTTTCTTTTGTATCATTGGCGATTAAGCGAACTTCAGTACGACCTTCAGATACGTTTTTGTTCTTTACGTCGTACCAGTATCCACTAGTTGAAAGTGGTCTGGTAACTAAATGGAACCACAGACCCTACGAAGAGACCAAGTTTTATTACGTAGCCGCATAAAATACCTGGAATGTTTGTCTAGACAGGTTAGCATTCTGTCGGAGTAAACCAAAAAACATTTAATTTCAGTTCATTCTCTGAATTGTTGTCGTTTTTATTGTTCTTTTTATTTACATGCATCGTTTGTCCCTGTTAGCCAACGCACCTGCAGATTCGCTCACATTTCCTCGAGCTTGCGCCCTAGCAGCGGTGAGCACGCTAAAAGCTCCAACTGCAGATAGGCAGTTCCCACGAAAGAGTGAAATCGCGAGCATCATTAAGTTTGGGGAGTTCTCATTAGCACGACGTTGCTGTATAAATGGAGCTAGGTAGCCATTCAAGTATTTCTGTAGTCATTGTATAGCCGGGCAGCGTAGAGCGCGTCCGAACCTTGCTATATTTATTAAGAACCGATCGCTGTTCAACATGGTTTCGGCACGTTCATCTCTGGATATCGATTGCTTTTAGACAATGTTCAAAGGACCATCTTTAGTCTAGTTATAGTCTCAGTTCTGTTCTACGACCATTTATAAATGCTCTGATTTTTCATGTTCTCTCTATTTCAATATATGTGTTACTAAAGATACGAATAGCATGAATGCGTCTTTATGGCGTCCGTCCAACTTGTAGGTACCTGGGAAGGTTCATCGCCCAGGAGGTGTCAAAAGATCACCCGGCATACATTCCAGCGGTAGGTATCCACCCTACTTACGGTTTTGAAGATGGCGACCTCGGTGAATGGCTCGCTGCAATGGTTGCTATGGATTACGCGAAAATGCGCAACTGTAATGAACTTCAACACGTTGAGGCAAAACTTTCAGAGGAATCATCCATTTGTTTGGATCAGCTGTCGCAACATGTAAGTTCACATTGTATCTACTGCTTGTTTTTTTGCGTTCAAGACGAGTATAGCCTGCGTGACAACACGCTTTACTCTGTCGATCTTTGTCAAGCTACCTATTCACGTTGCCATAATTCGATTATAGTATACGTCCAAGTTTCGTTTAAATTTTAAGTCCATTTAACAGCTTCGCTGTTTACACACTTTTTTGGTTTCACCGATAAACAGAAGACATTCGTAATCGGGTGTTGGTTAGTCTGTTAAGGCTGAATCATATTGAATGTTTCAACGAAGACAATCTCGAATCTTTATTACCAACGATGGTCCACAAAGGGTTTATGCATGCTTACTTATTCAGATGGAGAATGCGCTTATTTGATCACTGGTCATATATAGCTTTTGCAATTATGCATTCGCCGAGCAAACAAACATTTAACCCGAACTGACGGTTTAATTTCCGATCGATCAATATTTATTTATGGCTTATAATTCCAGCCTCTGTATGATTTCTACCTCAGCGAGGATGTGGAGCCGAAATTTCGCAAGATTACTCTCGACGCCGTCACCTACATGGGCTGGAGCGACGGGCGTCAACCGATCACCTGGAGCGAGTTGATCGATCGAGACTGTAAAAATAGCATTAAACTCAGTGAGAAGGATCGCAACCGGCTTGAAAATGTTCTTAAGCAGATCACACTAGCTTCTTAGATCGCCTAATAGAAAAATACTGCCGAATACTGTCAATGTCTATAGTTAATTGGATGCTAGGACCTAAACTGCGAATATGTAGGATTAGATTTTTTTGAGGTATTGCTACCTTTATGATTAGAAGACGGTTGTCGAACCGTGCAAATGGTTGTTTCTGTTCTACAGGGTCATTTACATCTGTGTGTTTATTCCATCGCTTCACTGGATACCAACCAAAGGGTGTGCAAAGTTCGTGCGAATGAGAAACGACGGATAATACAGAATTAGTAAAAAAAAAAAAAAAAGAAAAAGGAAGCGTTGTGACATTTGTGAACTCATCACCTCTGCAGACGCTCTCAAACTATTTCCATCTCTCTGCCTGTCCACTTTCGAACACGGTACAAATGTGATGTATGTGATCGCACTGTAGAGCAGTTATAGGTACATATACACAATGACATAATGATTTACTGTTACTTGTTATGTGATGTACTCGGCAAGTTTCTACCTTACGTCTTGAGTCATTCGCATAGTCACGCTAAATATTAGCCACATGCTTGTTCACTTAGACGGAATTTATTTGCTATTTTAATATCAATAGCAATTATAGGATACAGCCCCATCCATATATATTCGCGTAAAACGGCGCCGGCCAATCATAGAGTCATTATGTGTTAAATTGCATTTCCAGTGTGAGACTAATATTTTCTTGAAGCGGAGGCTTTTTACACTCTAAACTTTACTGGTACTGCTTATGCAACAGAGTTGATCCAGAAGAATTTTGATCAAGTTTTTATTGGAGCACAGGAGTATCCAGAGGCATTCTGTTATGCGCAGTATGAGAAAAAATTGTTAAGGACGATTCAAGCTTTAATTGCTATTTAAATGTTGGCTTTATGTATTACATATATGTTACAGTGGGCTATGAGTTTTACGATAGCATATACGGGCATGTGAATTTCATCAACAGAAAGGTATCTAGTGGGCGAACGAATTTGCAACATCCGCCTGTACGAATTCAATGTGCATGGCATGTTGTTGTAGAGAACGGCGAAGTTCAAAACACATGAATTGAATTATATATACTCTGCAAGAAAAAGGTGCACATATCTTATGTGTGTCCCTTACTAGAGTTAGAGAGTCTGTTAGAAATTGTTGTTAGTCAAACAAAGAATTGAAAAGGTTTGTTCTTCTTAGAAAAAAAAACCACCGGAAGAAAGACAGTTATATATGACGTTTGGTAGAACAAACGGCCTTATCTTTAGCCGTCTGTTGAACGGGAACCGTAGCAGTCCAAATAGAAAATAACCAATAAATCAGTTAAGAAACAAGAAGACTATACTGAGAAACCTTTCTTTCGCTCTTTTCAGTCTAGTTGACAATGATGTGAGTGTTTATATGTACCATTCATATCAGATTGTATTGAAAAGAAAGTTAACAAAATACACGTAGATAACATAAGAGACTTTATCTAGCGTACATCAATGTATTCATTTTTACTATGTAATCGAGCTACGCTTAGTGTATGGCTAGTTCCACGGTGTTCAAGATTGATAAAGCTGCTTTAAGACAGGTCGCATACAGATAGAGAAAGAAGCTCGAATAGAAGGAAAAGCAACTTCCAACACAATTTCCTAACATCGAATGATTATACTTCGCTAGTGCAATTATCAACTATCGTGTTAGACAAAATTGCGCAATCTAAACGTGATAGTAAATGCCGAAACGCTTCTAGGAGGGACTAACTATGATAATGGCAATCATAAGAATTACATTAGCGATTTACACACATACATATGTACATTAAGGAAATAGTCGATAGTGGAAGCGCTCGGACTGTTGAAATTCCAGTTCTTCTCTTGTATTACATGAAAAGTTACAAAAGACAGCACAGGCTAGTAAACTTGCTCCCATCGAAGTAACTGACCGGTTCTAGTCCCCTATCTAGCACAATGTTGCCCTGTAAGATTGATTAGGGTGTTTATTGATTCTCTGTGAATGTCTCCATCACATCAGTAGGTAAAGTAGCTTTCTTTTGTCGAGCTTTTTCCTTCTTTCCCTTCTCTTTCTGTTCCATTTTGTCTTTGAGGCTGGTGTATTCCTGTGGACGCTCTATGAAGAACCGGGGATGTACCTCGATATGCAACACCTCCACACACATATAAGGTTTCAGCCAACCCACGAGTGGGCAGATTCCCTTCAACAAAAACAGACAAATCGAATTTGACTGATGTTATCTACAGGTTGTGATTAACTGGAAATTTTCTTTGAAGTTGTTAGACTACATTATTTGCATGGTGTTATAAACATTCAGATTTAGTCAGGTAAACAACAATTATTTGAGCAAATTATCCCTTTTACTTAAAGGGACGATGAAGTAAAAAAAAAACTCAGATTATCACGATATTCGATATTGTGTTTGGCTTGTTTTTTACTTTTCTAATAACTTACAAGCGAGCATTTGATGTCGATATCTGTAGCAACGTTTCTTCAATAATTATCGGTACAAAGGGTACATGAACGGTTCCACCAAGTGATAACCTACCGGAATGTAGTGACCCTCGGAATGATAGAACAGAATTCCATCAACTTCAATAGGTGTTATAAATGGCGGCTCATCGCGGCACAGCAGGCTTTGAATCGTCTGAGGCTCCCATTCGTAAAAAGGCACTACTTCAAGCTTCACCTATTCAAATAACAAAGTGTCAACGAACAAGCAGTTGTTGAATGCATTGACAGACAGGTTGTTAGTTGTTATAAGTGTTGTCCTAAACAATGCGTAACCAAGCCGCAGTATCATATGTAAAACTCAAAACATTTCTTTATGAGAGTATTGTTCTATGATAACAACAGGCATCAACATTAGTTGATGCGTTCCCACAATAAAACTATTCGTTGTAACACGACACAAACTCAGAGGTTGATAAACGAAGGGAGATACCTTTCTTTCTTTGAATGTAAGTTCTGTTTCGCATTCCGCAAATTGTGTCTTTAACCAGAAGAAACGAAAAGCTGTTACGGAATCATAATACGGCCTGGATCGCCAGTAAATAAGATCGAGTATGAAGCAGGTTTTCGATGCATCATTATAAACGATGTCAAGTATGGTGAACTCATTCGGTTTCCAGTTTGATTGTCGGCCGCCATTCGAGCTTCCTCCTGCGTGACGAAATTACAAAAGAAAATAATGTTAAAATCACAGCGCACTATTTAAAATAGTTTTCGCGTATATTTTTTATGTAAATCTCTTATCTACTTGTTCGGAACAATACTTTTAATTATGAAAAGACCTTCTGAACATTAGGAAATATGATTCATACAATGAAAACACTATTTCTAATATACACTTAGCAGTTTGAACTTTTGCAGCCAACTTCAAATAGGCCACCTAACAAGAGAGCCGTCCGCAGATAAATTTAAAGGGCACACCCTGTTCGTTAATTACATTGCTTGAGAGAATTCAACCGAGCCACGATTTTAGTGAATTTTTATAGACATTATGTCTCTTAACTTAACAGTCTCTCAACAGTAATGTAAACAACAATAGTTCAGCTTGAATTTGGAAATGCGATTAGGTTTTCTATATTAGGCACATTTCCAAAAAATTAGGCAAAAGCATCGCATAGGATGCAAGAGAGGTGATTGACTAACCAGGTAGATTCGAAGCAAAAGTCATGAAGTTGAAGCCATTGCGAGCGTATAGTTTTGTAACACCCCTTGATGCAATGAGAAGTCCTCTTTTTCCTTTAGGGCACAGCACGATCAGGTAGCGTTCCAGATCTGGCGGAACTTCAACCAGCCATTCGGACTGCATCAGCTGGTTACGATATGACCTGTTCCACAGTATGAAAGATGTTACCATATAATATAATAATGTTAGAAAGGCATCAATAAAAAATAAATTATGTAAAGTAATTATTAATATAGGTTCGTTCTGAAAAATTGTATCAACAAATGGATTAATCAATTGAGAAATGCAAAAGGATGCTTTTATACTATACGTTCTGTCATTTTCTATATCTAAATATAAAATACTTCTCAGGTTAATTACTGCTTAAAAAAATACAACTAAATCATTAACCGTATGACATCATATGTCTCTGACATGTGATATACATTAAGTTGATCGTCAAATTACCTCGGAGGTCTCCGGGGACGGCTTATCTCGGAGTCAGTATCATCCTCATCGGTACCGGCATCTATACAAGCTCTTGCTACGTTCCCAGACTTATAAACTCCGGATTCCTTATCTGTCTTTAAGCCATTGCCTGGTAGGGATTCGTTCGCTCCAAATACTCCAGTGGCAAGACCGCGAGCATGAAGAAACCCGTCATACCTTCGCGAACAGGTAATACATTAGAATGTTGCCATGTTCCTCTCAATGTAACTAGAGCCTGTTTATTTTGAAAGATAAAGAACATTAACTTTTAGATTGAATTCTCTGTTCACCGTAAAGGCAACAGCCATAATAGATCGCAGAGCAACAATATGGCTCTGACAATATGACTTCTGGCTAGCCTACGTATATCTTGGAGTGGTTCTGCGCTTTAATTTATGTTTTAATGCGTGAAGTATCATGAGGATCAAAGTGAATTACCGCTTCTCTTTTTGTCTCTCGAGAAACTGCTGTCGCCGTAATTCCTGTCGTACAGGTAGTGATGTTTTAATTTTACGCATTTGAGCAAACCTTTCGGCAGATATCGTAGCGGCGCACGGAGCCTGGGTAATACTCAGCTCGCTGCTGAGACCTGATATGATTTCGTCCATCGTGGCCTACTGTGGACAAAAATAAAGCTTTAGCAACTACTTACATACGTAAACAGTAGTAGAATCTTATTGTACATATAGTTCCGCACTCACATCCTGTCAAATACACTACGATGAAATATAATTGCAGTTAAACTTGAAAAAAGGCAGTGAACAAAATATCAACAATACACAGCAACATAAAGAACACGAATAAGACACGTAAGATAACCTACAACATAAGTCTGCAGTTTAGTTAGGTCATGTTCTACAATTGAGTCGTTCCTACATCATAATATAACAATGACTGTCCTCTGTTACTCAGCAGACGTTAGAATTTTTCTAGTTACCAACTTATGCTATTTTAGCGTTTGTCTACTCATACACCAAGTCGTAAATAAAGAATCACGGACAAAAGCAATTTTCATGAAAATTTCACAACACTCGCTGAGCATAGTAGGAGGCTTCCTTGATATCGGGGGCTAGTTTTGAGACCGATTCACTTCATTACACTCCGCGCTTTCCATCAAGTCAGCAGGAAAGATTAGTTTTGCGTTCAGTACTTCCTCTTGCGTTAGCGTCAAGATCCGCTCAAAGCAAACAAAAATTACGAGTGACGTTTTCGAGGACTTCAGTTCGCGCTAGTACCACAGATGTTCGAAGAGCGTTCCGTTGACTTGGAATGTCCCGAGCCGCCTAACTGGCCCTTTCCCACAGAAACCTAACAGAGCTCATACTCGCACAGTAACTCTCGTGTGTTTGTTGACCCTCACATAAATCGCAAACAACCACCGCTTGGTGTTCTTGATTGCATGTTGCTTCTTCTTTAATGCATTGACGAACTTAGACTAACAGGAAATTGAAGCAAAAATATGAAAATTCAATTCACAAAGGAAACCGATTACGAGGCGGTGCGCACTCTATAGGTGTCCTATATTATCTTCGACTTGTCTGTTGTCTAGTTAATTCAACTTATATACTCAGATAGTCGGGCATTTTGTCAGAACTAGGAAAGTTAACAACTGACGCATGCAAGAAAGCAACTAATGCTCGTACAGCGGATGATTGATGGCGACTTAGAAGGAACGCAGAGTTGCGCGCTGAACGAATCCGTATTTTCTTTAATCCTCGGAACGGAGCGACCGCCTGCCGCCATGTGACGTTAATGCGGTTTCGAGGAGAAAGCGATATTCGCACTTTACCGGGAGCATAAGTGCGGTATATTATTGTATGTGGCCTGCAAGTGTAAGCGAGGGTTCCTCCACGCGTGGATGTATGATTTTGTGTGTTTCAAAGTGCGGTTTGGTGTTCCCTGTGTTTCGCCTATTTCGGATACAAACGGTCCAGCCCTCTGCGCTCGTTCCTGCGTTTTATGGTGATTGAACCAGTGAGACGTACTTTGCATTAGTGCAGCGAAAAAGCAGAACGCCAAATACGAAGAAACAGCATCTTGACCTGAAGTTGTTCGATTTTCACGGAACTTGTGTCAGACGCTGTAGTGTGTTTGATATCCGATTGTTGTGATTCGTCCGACGAACGCAACGGAGCGGCGGTAGCGCGCGATGTGCACTAGAGTAGCACTCATGCACCAGAGTTTCCTTGTCTGCTGGCGTAATCGTCGAGCGTTTTTTGGTTCATATTAATACGGTCACGCTGTGTCGAATCGTCTTGAAAGCGACAAATAAGCGATCTGAACAGTTGCAATATGGATGACGACGAGCGAACAGCATCCCTTAAGGAAGTGGTTCAAGAAGTCGAGGTCAGTTCGCATTATTCTTTCTTTCTGTTAGAGTTTTCAAAAGGCAGCAACAAACCTAGAAGATTAAAACGCGCAATGTTTCTACTGATATTATGCATACAACGAAGATACTGCAGGGAAAAAAACAATGGCGCGAATTTTTTCCAATTTTAAATATATCGCATGTCAATTAGTTGATCGCAATAACTGAGTTAAAAGGATTTCCTGCTACAAAAGTACAGTTCAACAAGAAATACTGCACTAGAAAAGGCCTAGGAACAGCGAGTAGCTAAAGGATAATGTGTAGCTAGATCTGGGATGGGTGTCCCACTTATGGTTGTGCTTTTGCCTTTTCTTTGTGAAGTGCAAAGCACGTTACCTTAATGAGGCTATTCTATTCAGCAAATGTTTACTATCGCAATAGGACTAATAATGATAGTAATAATAATAACAAAAAATGAGAGATTTGACAGAAATTTGAGTATGGATGGTTTGTCCGAGAAATTTTCTTATCGGTAATGAGCTTGGATCCATGTAAAATACATGATGAAGATAAATTCTTTGTCGGACTTCAGCTCCGTGCACTTAATGAGTACCTGTACAATATGGATATTGCGCATCATAGATTTTGAATTCCTTTAACCACTGGAAAGCAAGAATAATTGTGGAAATTTTTAAAAGGCTACTTTTTCAGTTTTTCTGAGTATCTTGCGCTCTGATGCATTCCATATAAGCTGCATTTAGTAAGTTTACTCGGAGTGTAGGTAGCATACTCAATAACAGCATTATTATGTCTTCACTTAAACGGTTGCAGTATTTACCTCATACATATATTTCCTCGATTATGTTTCACTACGCCATTTCAGGCCACACGTATTATTTTAGAGTAATCAATCTTAATATACTTAATATATAAGAAATACGCTTACAAAGAATTTCTTTTTTTCATTAGAGCACAACCCCATAATTGTGCCTCAGGATCGCAAGCTATCTAAATGCCCGACGATAGAGAACACATATCTAGGAATCTTCCGTATTCCCATACTTTCCTGTTTGCGCCCATATACAATGATGTCATGCTATACTAATAACATGCTCTGTAGGTGATAGTATTGACTCGATTATTTACGAAGCTTCGTGAGCCTAATGCGAACAGGCCTAGTATAGCATACCTAGATATGAAAGAATGGGACTTTGAGCAACGAAGCTGAGCCTATCGTCCTCGAAAACCTGTTCCACCTTCTCGCCCAACCCGACTAACAGCCATTCGTCAATCAGCAGCTATAGTAGCTATACAGTTTTTGTAGCATGAGTAGTGTAAGTCAAACGTGATGATGCTTATCGTTCTTATGGCTGCTGCTACCGTCGTTGTTCGACGGCTGAATCGCGACGCGAAGAGTGCAAAGTTGCACGACATGACTATGCTAGCATTGTCGATCGAGCTTGTTCTAAGCTCGACCAGTGCCCTTACTATCCAGTGGAGGCAAAACGGTCGACACGGGCAGAATGTGGACTAGGGCGTTTAATAGTACGGTTTAGGGAAAAGCCGCGCCAATAGTGGCAGCCGTGGTCGTCCGAATTAGCCAGGGTTGGGCTGTCGTTGTTCAATGGTTGGTCAGCGCAGCCACCATCGGACAACCGAAACGCTCCCTCGGGCATTCTGTGCCGCGAGCGTTTATCGGGTCGGCCGCCTTCTCTTCGAGCAGCAGCAGCAGCAATCATTGCGTTGTGGTTGTAATAGCAACGGCAGCAGGCGTAGGCATAATAGCCTTGATGGCCGGCTGGTCGTTCGGTAGCACCGTGTCGAATAGCTTCATCGTTAAGCCAACTTGCCATCGCTTGTGTTCTTTCTCAGGTGCTCTTGCGCTGTCTTGTTCTGCCTGTCTCCTGCCTTTTCACTCGCCGATTTGCCAGGGCGACTTATGTGTGTACATGTCACGACGTTTTGAGAAAGTCCTTGGAAAGTCCGCCGTTAACCCCAGCAACGGTCGCAGGAATAGCATCGGTATCTGGAGCATTCGTCGTCCTCCTATTTACTATCAAATTTTCTTTATGGGTTGCATCATGTCGTCGTAGCGTTGGGCTAACAGCGAAGCAGGCTCCGTTTTAAAAGTCGCTGATGTCGCCGCCATTGCCGCTATAGAAATAGGCTAATATATATATATATATATATATGTACCGTGTAACGGAAAGGTCACTCGGATAACGATTTTTCAGCCTATTCCTGCCAGACGAATCTCCAATGACATAAGAAACTAAACAAACCTAGGCATTAGAAATTAATTAAATCAACGCGCGTACCCTCTACAGTAATTAAAAGGCTTCCCAAAATCAGAGAAAGAAATCTATGCGCTAGAAATATTATTGAGACATTGAAAATTCTTCTGAAAGTTACCTCTGATAATCCTGGACTTTAATGTAGAAATCAGAGACTGTTCTAAAGATAAAAAAATCTATTATCTATAGGATAGTTCGTGTAGGATATGACGATTAACACATTTTCGCAATCTCTTATGCCCCTGAAGTTTTAGGACCTTTAATTTACTATAAGTCCGAGATTTAAGTATGTTAGACTTCTTTTACGTGTAGCGTGTTTCAACAAAATCTACATATATCTGGATGCACTAACGTCATTTAAACTCAGGTACGGTAACTACTAAAATTATTTGCTAATTTAGAAAATCAGTTTTTAAAAAAGTTCAAGTATCATTTGGAAGCTCCATTAAAAGCGAATGGCCGTCGCATTGAGTGAGCATGTTCGCCAAGAACGTTTATGTCAGGACATTAGAAAATATCATTCGAACAGCATATACGCAAAAGCCATCTCTATGTTCATAAACGGGCGACATACATTTTATTTTAATTGGAACACTTTGTACGCATAAGGGACGATCCGACTAAGAAATTTCTCTTGTGGTCGATTTCTAAGCTTTCCCTAAACAAAAACAGGTTGCACGACAATCTTTTGCACGTGCTAGAGTATCTTTTATGACGATCGTGTTCAGTTAACATAATTTTCGTTTACCTCGATTACAGCTTCGATTCGGTACCCAAGCCACTCACTAATCGTTTTTTAAAATAGCTTTTCTCAAATTCGCAAAGGATTTTTCGACAGCAGTCGTGCGTTGACGAATATGGATGAATGTAAAGCTGTTAAAACATCGTTTAAGTACGTTCCGAATAAAAAATTCAGCCCAATTATATCTCGGACAAATAGAAAGCCAAAAAGCCAACACAACAAGAGTCCAAAACAAAATAAAAAAATACAAAAAATCTAAAAAAGCACTAAATATCATAATGGGTTTGTCTTTGTCAGTCTTTTTTCTAAGAACTGGCCTGCTCTTGATACTAAGTAAAGAGGATGGGCGAATGCGTGCCTTCATGAGTTTAGATGAGCCACCGTATATATATATATATATATATATATGTTTAAGAAACAATGGAAAAACTAATAAACTAAACGCTAATACCAGTTAAGGTTAACTGGTATCAATCTCAAATAAACACCCAATGCATGTCACGGTACCTTTTGTCTATTTTTTTCGACAAGAACCGGTGGACCAGATAGTACGAATGCTGCACAAAACACATTTAAGATAGTTCCTGAAACTGAGTTTTTCTCATAGTACAGCGAAGTATTCTCAGCCTCAAACCAAACTGAAACAATCGAAATGTTAGATGGTACTTCTTCTTTCGGCATCGGGCTAAAGAGATACGATGTGTCAGGAGTTCCTTGTTTCTGCTTATTCTAAATAAATTTACATCTCTAAGTATATAAACTTGACTCGATTCACTATCATCATTATTACATTCAAATGTGCTCTGACCAGTCATAAATATAAAACGTTAACAATAAGCTTACACATATGTGTTGATTTGGTGCTTGATGGCGTCCGTTTGGAAAAATTTTATGAACTTGACCTTCATGTCGTTTAGAAGGAAACATCTGTTGACTGAGTAACCAACTTTGATGTATCTCTAGCATTTGCAAGGAGAAAAGCTCGGAACCTTCTGTTAGATTAGTATTAATCTAGTAATGCTGGCAATTTATATAAAATTAAGTTGGCGTGGAGCAATGATTCTGTGGGAACCTATACCTCCTGATTGAACTACATTGGGAACCACATATGGGCGAAAGAAGTATGGTGATTGGTAACAATAACACATTTCTTGTTAAACTAAATTACACATTTTGAGTTTTTTTTCTTTGACTGAAAATAATATTAATATCGTTGAAAATTACCATGATTTGATGGGAAAATGTTGAAGGTTTTCCGTTTGCCTACCAAGCCTGCGAGAAAATAGTATATGTCCTTTGATCTATGCAATAAGCACTTTAGTGCTAAATTGTTACTGCCACCTATGGAATGATTGCAAATAGAATTCATTAGACGAACGCAGAACATAAACTTTTGAAGGAACTTCTCCAGAAAGTCATTGATCTAATGCAATCTGAACGAATAACAAGAGACCGAAACTGATCCGTCAATATATTTAGTTTATAGATTTAATTTTCAATCATAACTATTGGAGTACGTGTTTTGGCGAAGATTTTTTGAATCTATGCCTCGAATCATCTTTTTAATATTCCACTGGGTCTATGTTACGTATTTGGCATGACGCTAACGAAAACCACAAAACTCGTGAACCGCTATTTCCATCTTAGCTCACGAGGAATCTTGAGGGCTACAGTGGCTCGGTGGATCAGCTTCCCCGTTCGGTTGGGTACTTGTACGCACACGTATTCGGTTTCCGATTCAGGCTATATTCTTATCTAGTCAGATTTAGTTTTTCTCCCTAGAAATTCATTCAATCTAGGTAAGCGTGTTTATCTAGAATACCCGTTCTTCTTTTTGTGAGCTTGGTCGGGAACGGTGCCTTTTATACGCACAAACGTAATAGTGAATACGACAGATTGTCTCTCTCCTCATTTTCTACGGTACTTTTCTGTGGCAAAGACACTGGAGTCAACTGCCTTTCATAGTAGCGTTATGATACATTTAACTACCTGTGTGCACCGGAGTGATTAAATAACTAAAAAAAAGGCAGTATGCACCACCACTGTTTTAATACCTACTCGTTCGAATATTCATTAATTTTTTTGTCATTTCTTTTTCTATACAGTAAAGGCTTTTCATTATTCCAGAAAGTTCGTGTTATTCCAGAATTTCACCATTACTAAAAAAAAGATAAAGGTGACAACATCCAAAAAGTTACCCACGAAGCGCACAGTTCTAGAGATGAAAACAAAAACGCATTAATATAATGAGAGGTTCTGAGTTTCCTTTGAAGACAAAGTATTTGTGGAGAATCAGTGGAAGTTTTTTATAAGCGTACGTATTTCGATAAAGAAAACCGGTTGAACTGACGGTCGCTTCAGTGCTTGAGAGAGATCTAGCATGAAGCTTGGTCTTGTTCATTTATTAGGATTACAAAATCCACCCATTTAAATTCTTCGTACTGCTTGCCTCGTAGTTTGCTTTTCGACACTGGAACAAGGTCGACAACAAACACGACTATGTTTATCTACAAACATTTAAATAAAATACATAAATGAAAATTTTTGTAATTGTATCAAAACTCTTCGACCTTAAAATAGCGATTGCTGTAAGAACTAATTTAATGTCTATACCTTCTGATTCGTTCCATTTTCTCAGCTATTGCCTGCCTAAGGGCATTTGAATCACTTTCGGGTAGGCTGTAGTGTTTAGCTGGCTTTATGCCAGGTCGTTTTGAGTAAGAATTTGCCCAAACGGCTAATTTACGAAACTTCTACTCACATTGCCTGTGTAGAAAATGTAATTGTATGATAAGTTCATTTACTTTAACAATATCGTCTCTCCATTGTTACAGGAGTTCACGAAAAAGGTGGATACGGCGAGTCTACGGGAAGTTGGTCCGGCCTTCTGTTATTGCCTTGATGAGTTGCTAGAATGCAGCGATGCCAAGTCTGCCGATATTCTAGGTCAAAGTCTTATTGACGCGCTGTGGGAGCGCATCAATATTGGACCATGGCGCAGTGTACCACTTGATCTGAGACGCATGTTCTCCTATGCAAGTCTGATCCGAGCGCGAGCCGTACTTTGCCTTGGAAATAGGTCGAAAGCAATCGAAATTCTTGATCGAGGACTGGTTCTTGGAGCTCCAATTAGAAAGGATGCTCAAACTAACTGGCTCGCTCAAGTAGCCGGATATGTACATGGGCGATGGAAAATCTCTGAAAATCTCAAAAGAATCGTGGATCAAATCGAAGCTGATAACGACTTGCGTGTTGTAAGTTCGGTGGGAGCTGGAGCTCCCTTTGTGGACCAAGTAACTCTTCCCTCAATAAATGAGTTTTTACGCGTACTTATTGCGAAACAGCCGATAAAGATCCTGCAACTGATGGACTGTTGGCCTGCCATGACGTGTTGGAGCCTGCGTTACTTTTTAGAAACGTTTGGTCAAAGGACAGTACCAATTGAGGTGGGCTCACGGTATACAGATGAAGAATGGTCACAGAAACTTGTTACGTTTGAAAGTTTCATTCGAGAATATCTGCAACCGGCCACTGTCGAAAATACCGGATATCTAGCCCAGTACAACCTACTTGATCAAGTACATGAATTGAGATCCGACATTATTGTGCCCGATTATTGCTATGTACTAAGCGATGCCGAACCTGACATCAACTTTTGGTTGGGTGGGCGCACGACGTCTCCTTTGCATTTTGATGACCGAGATAATATCCTCACTCAGGTAATCAGATAATTCAATATTGAGTGGTATTATTCCACATGGGCTATCGATAAACACGAAAGAGGTCACTGATTTTAGAAGTGGTAAAGCGCTTGTCCTTTTAATATCATGTACGCCCTTTTGAAGGACAACTTCGCCTTTCCAGGTGTCTTTTAGAGAAAGCTAGGTTTGTTAGTACGGCGACCTTGGTCGTTTAGTGAAAAACATAAGAGTGACGTCTACAATGATGCTTATAGTGAGGAGATACTAATATTTGTAATTTTTGTTATAGGTGTTTGGCACTAAACTCGTTTTGCTTTACGGAGCTGAAGACACCGAGCTTCTATACCCATTTGAGAATCAGCTACTTCATAATACGAGTCGTGTTGACCCGGAAAATGCCGATGATCCCCGATATCCAAAATTCGCGGATGCAAAATGTACTAAAGTCCTTCTGGAAGCGGGCCAGGCGCTCTTCATACCGAAAGGCTGCTGGCATTTTGTCAAATCGCTTTCAGCCGTGAGCTGTTCGATCAGCTTTTGGTTCTCCTGAAGTCACGTCATACATCTTTTTCAAGCAAGTCTTATCGTTAATTGTTTCTTTATAAGGTTTTGGCGTGAATTTATATTTTCAAATTATACGAATTTAGAAATTCATGTTCTATCAAAGTGCATCAGCGTATCACTTGCCCGCGAAATGTCTTCTGCAAAATATGCGGTTTTATTTGTCTTCTATTTATCGAAAAAGCAATTGTACTGCGTGCGAATGGTATGAGGCGGCTTTTGATTCGAATCACATGCGCATATCCCTGAATTATAGGGAAAAAAAATTAGTGTCGTACGCATTTTGTAGTTTGCTTATTTAAGAATGTGTAGAAACTAGTAAAAGTTAGCAATTCGTAGTATTACATTAAATTGGTATTTGTAACAATCTGCACAACCGTGTGCATTGTCGAGTTTCTCGTTTTGCAGATTTATTTATAATTTATGTTACGTATCTATGTCATTTTTTGCAGTGCTGTTACAGATCATAATATTATAAGATGGCTCTCAAACGATGGAGTGGCCGCAGTCTCGCTTCTACAGACGAGGCGCTTAGACGTGCCCCAGGGCTTGTCGTCGAATTTGTCGCTGTTCCCATTCCAGACCGCCCAACTCCATGTACCTCTCTTCTGCTGACTCTTGTGGTCGACTGCTTTCGTTTGCTATTGTTAGTGTCGCCAGCTGATTTGCGCAGCGCATTATCGTGGCCTTGTATTTAATATGGCAATGTGATTTAATTAAGCTTTATCGGAAATTTTGCTTTCCTAAAAGCCTGGTATTAACTTAACTGTATGGGCTTATTTCTCGCCTTACTTTGTCATCGCGCAACATTGTTAACAAAGAAACATTTTTAATAAAACAACAGGTTTCAAACAATGACTCTTATAGATCAGCTACTGCAAGCAGCCAACTTTAACATAATGGATAGGTTTTTACAGAACTGCGTAAATTTTATGGGTTATGTAGGTACATAAATAAATGGCACTTTTCGTTAACAAATATATCATACGTTCAAGAGCAGGTTCATATAAAAATCAGTTTTTATTAAAGCTGTTACTGTCCCACAAACAAGCAGGTCACGTGAAAACCACGAACCAAACAAGAATTTTCAACTCGCATAGCTGATTAATCGGATCCAATGCTTTTGCACTTTACATGCTTATCTATTACTGCTTGTGCTAAATTGCTTGTGTGTAAAATACCCTTAATATCCAGGAGCTACGCATAGTACAATAATGTACCTAATAAAAGTCAAATTTTATCTGCTTTTTTTCCTTCGTTGCATGCTCATCGGATTTTCTTGGTATTTTTCTTGTCGGTATACCCTCCTATAAAGCTCATACAAGGGGGCTCATAACGTTTTCTCTTCGGCGATTGAAAAACTGCTTATTAGAGCTCATTCGTTAAGCAGGTTCTGGCAAATTGACGCTTCTTATTGAAGTCGTTGATGTAATTACCTGATTCGGGTGATATTATTTGCCTCGCTGCAGGAAACGCTTGCATTGGTTTGGATGATTTCATAAGACCATCACCTGCCGTTCCACTTGAGTCTGGCCTCTCGATCGTCGAGCGGGTAGGAAACATTGTCACTGTAGTGAGGACACCCGCAGGCCAACAACTTTACGTTTGTGACCTGTGTGGGGCACAGACAGAGGTTAGATATTATTCGATATAAATACTAAATAAGAAAACTCTGCTAGTATGTATTATTATTTAAAACACGTTTAACGTAAACGTGAATGTTGTTATCGTAAATCTGTATTTCGTTCCGTCAAAAATTATCAATAACAGCTGTATTTTCCTGGGGTGTAACGCATTAGGTTGCAACACGATCGTTAAAGGTGCATCTGGAGACACATTACGGCCCGGAGAAACCTTTCCCCTGCAAGTTCTGTAATAGCTACGCCAGTGAACGATTTGACTCACTGAAAAAACACTATAGAACACACACAGGTAATTATTTCTTTACCACGTTCGGTTGTAGTAGTTATTTAATATCCATGTATAATTTTTAGTACTGTTTTAGATGATTAACCATCAACAAGGTTGATGCCCTGAATGAGCCGGATCATTTCTGTTAGACGCTCCACACTTGACTTTTCTATACATTAAATCGGACCATGTTTTTTTCAGCTAACAAATAATGCAATGTTGCACTTGAGTACTAGCAATAAGTGAAATCATTACATATTTGCCACCGCTCTCTACTACCTTCTTCCACCTTCCCTTATATATATTTATTACTATCTCGTGTTGAAAAACTTTGTCAGTCAGAAATTGGGATCTTCTTCACTCTCAAAAATCCGGCCGCTTGTTTTACTGTCAGTGACTGTAAAAAGTGGTAATTCGTTGAAGTGAGGTCTGGAGAATATGGCGGGTATAAAGGAACCTTTCGCTCGAACTCTGACAGATAAGTCTTTACAGTCTTTGTCTAGTAATGCTATGGAGAAGGATGACTCTGTCTACCAGGTCTCTTTTATTGCTTCCTTCTTTTTGTTCAATCGATGCAACCGGGCCAGATATATATATATATATATAGAAATAATTTTATTTTCCTATTCTTTAGCGCGCAAAACCCTTCCAATTTCATCAGATGTAACTCATAGTCTCTCTTCGATGAAACAATCTGAATCTAAGCTTCGGCGTAGTCATTACTTTCTCTATCTTATATTGATGTCGATGTGCCATTTCTCATCAGCTGGAACGACCATGTAGAAATATGTCATTATGGCACCATGTTATTAGGCGAAATATTGATAATCAATGAAAAGTCATGCTGCCTTTTATACTCAACGCTGTTTATAATGCATTAAGGCTCTTAACTTTTGATAAAAATTTGATACATTTAAAATACTCAAGTTAAAAATACTCTATTTACCGGCCAGTTAACGACTCCTTTGATCTCATCGTATGGCTGACCAGCGTAGGGCACATTTTCTATGCCAAGATTCTATATTTAATTATAGCAAACCTCTTTAGAGCAGTTCTCTTAGCCCAGCTATATATGGAGCATGTATGCAGGGTTACGTCCGCTATTGTTTTCACTTGGCAAAGGGCGAAATACTGTCGGTGTCGAAAATAAATATTTTTTTAACCTGAAACTTCGTGCGGTTCGACATCTTGCCCAATGACATATCTATAAAAATTCAGATGGCAGAGAGATAAAAGAAAAGGGGAGTATAAAAACAGTCCTTATCTGTATTCCAATCTAATTTTTTGGAGACCGGAAAATTTAGGTGAAAATGTAAAGACATAGTTTCCAGTAACCGAACGGCATATTAACGGCTAGCGTAGTTTAGCCAGAGCGTGACTGAACTCTTTACAAAATGTATTTATTGAAAGTATTCATTTTGATAGAGAAGCTGCTCTTAGTGTACTACATTTACATCAGTGCTGACATCCTTAATGGGAATGGTATACGTGTTTCCGCTAAACGTAAGGAGAATAGTTAGCTTTTATAAAGTTTATATCTGAGAGAAGATTAATGGCAGTGTTGAACTTTTATTTATTTACTGTATAAATCTTATATGACCAGCATACGTGCTCTGGGTTAACTTTTAGAGTATGTCGTTAGGTTATTGAAACGCAAACTTTTATTGTGACCATTCAGGCGAGAAACCCTACGTCTGTCCATTATGTCTCTTCCGTACCGTAACAAATTCATCGTTTCATCAACACTTCCGCAAGGAACATGCCGACCAAACGAGTCCTGGGCACAAGGTATAAACAACCACTTTTCCATGCAATTTACAATCTTAATAGTACCTTTAGTTACCTATTTTTCATACACTCGTAAGGCTTTTATAATCACGAGGCGCCATTCAATTTTCTGCTTTCTGATCTCGATGCTCGGATTTTCCTCGATAGAGTTCCGTACTGACTGTGCTTTGTAGACATTTGTAGATATCATACGAAAGAAAAAGCTTAAATTAAATAGATCTGATGCACTCGTTAAACAAAATTTTATTAACTCGTCGCCCACTGAGGATGGTTTAAATAAACAAGCCCTAATGCCCTATTCCTTTGAAGTTCTAAGGTATGCGGTTATTTCGCACAAGAATGAAATCTAAGCTTTATCTCAACCTATTTATAATTATTAGGTTCAACCAATTTTCGACTCCCCCGCTGCTTTTCCTCAGCCAGGGCCCGTCGTCGTATCTTCAATCAGTGGCCGACCTTCTGCTGGCGTAGGTGGAATTCTGCCGGAGCGCTAGCAAATAATTGTGTATACTCAATAGAAACCATTGGTCGATATGCATCACAATAGGAATAGGCGCGGGTATTTAACAGACATGCGAAAACTTTAAATACTAGACAAGACGAAACGTCTTAAACAAAAGAGCTTTATCACTCGTGCATGATTTAGAAATGATTAGTGAAAAGTTTTAATGTCTTACTATTGTCATACGGTCGAAACGTGAGAAAACGTCGAATGTAACCAGTAACCATGGAATTCATAGATGGTATAATCTATGAACAAATAGACATTCCAATTTTTCCGACTGCGAAGTTGTGCCAGTTTCTGAAGCAGCTATCATGGTTGGTCCTCACAAGGACATCGTCCTCGTGCCTGCTGTATTCAAGCTAAAACGCAGCGTTCTTACATTCCTTAAAATAGAAAGTGATTTGATCTATTTACCGACTTTAGCGCTCGGTAGTTATACACCCGTCAAAATAATACTTTACGAAATACATTTGTCAAATGTTACTGCCTCTTACGCATAAAAAGACATTGCGCAATGGCTAGTAGAGTTGAAATATTCGCCGAAAACAAACGAATCTGTTTAGAAAGGTTCAGGGGTTTTGCTGTTTTGGTAGTATCACACATCCAAACCTGAGCGTGTACCAGTCTAGACAATCCGAGAATTTTATCTACCCTACCAGTTTTTCTGAATTGAAACGAGACGGTTACGGCTGTAACCCTTGATTTTCGTATCTCTAGTTAAATCCATTCCAAAATAAGTCATTGAAATCATGTGCATTTTGTTCTAAACAAATTTAGTTTCCAAGGGTATAAAAATATCCTCTGTTTTACGATACATATGTTTCATGGTTCAAACAGGAGATGTTAAAATTGGTGACTCGTAAAATTCCTGTTTAGGTTTAGTACTATACGTCAATACAAGCGGCGTCCTCAACGGCCTACTAATTTTGCTCAATTAATCGGACGTCATCTGGAACAGTACTAGATTTTTTTCAATGTACACCATGCGGCGAGGAGAAGTAACCGCAGTAACTGATAACTCGAAGAATCTAGCCCAAATAGGTACTCCCTCATTATGAATGCTTACGTCGGATCTTACATCGGATCTTACGTCAGATGTAAGTAGAACATAGATTACTAAAGGATCAAATAGGTTGTGTCGAGCCCAGACTATAGAAAGTGTTTTATTGCAGAGTAGATTCCTTTTGGCAGGAGGTTGCTAGAGCTTTCGTCGCTCTTGCAGAAATGTTTGTGTCATGTTAACACTTTTTCTAATATGCCTTTTGTAAGCACATGTATTAAATATAGTTGAAAGCTATATTCATTGCATGTAAACGCATTTGGTATTCTAGTATAGAATGACTAGAACGCACGTTCTATGCCACACGCTACTTTCTAGTTTTCGGTTATATTCATTCTAATTCAGAACAAAAACATCTTATGCTTACAAATAATCTTTATTGCCATTACTTTAGTTACAGTCCTGGGAGATACAAGGATATGCAGGCCTGCACAGATCTTACACTATTCAAAGCGGCGGCTTGTGTCAGTTAGAGAAGATCTCGATAGTTGAAATGACAAAGATTTTATTAAAGACGAGTGCAGATTATGTGTGGTTTTGAGTCTGTTAACCCTTCGATTTCTGCCGATTAATATTTACTTTGTTCCGTAATGCTAATGAAACCAAACCATTTTCAGTTGCTTACCAAGGGTATATGAGTTTTTCAACATTCGACTTCTGACGCCTTGAGTTTGCAGTCTGCGACTCAGTGCCCATCCATAGTATATAAACAACGGCGATTTATATCTCATATGTAGTGCCTTCTTATAACGCAGTATTTTAAATCACTAACGCTCAATACACAGCGTCGCCTTACGACCGAAGCGTAGAGACATTCGATACTGGAAAACATAAAGGCTGCGGAGTGATAAGTTACTTTATTATTAATTAGTTAGAGTCGATAGATCTCCGATGCGGCTGTGCACAGAAAATCTATCGGCTCTCTGGTGACGGCAGAATATCGGAGATTTTGCCCAGTCTAAATACAAAATTTTAGAAGACAGATGAACTCACGCTTTCATTTGTGAAACTTTTGTTACACACTCTTGGTGCGCAAGCTCTCAAGTAATTGTCAATCATAAAGCGTTTGTATTTAATGAACTTCTACGGCGTTTATGTTGGCGCGAAAATCTGTGGGGTTTTATTACACGAAAAAAACGTGTTCCGTATGATATCGAATAGACAGTGGCTTTAGATCGAATAGAAATCCTTTTTTTAGCATCTTAATACGATGTGATTGAGGGTTGATAATTTACAGGATCTACATATTTCATAAAGGTCTGCGCATTCGTAGAAGCTTTTATTGGGTATCTGACAAGGCAGGCCTCCTGCCAAAGTTTGTTTTTGCAAAAATGCATTGTAATAAACTATGACACTGTTTCGGGTTCGCCAACGACACGTAACTACACAGTTTATGTGAATAACGAACGTTAGTTTTATCATTTTTCTAATGGTAAAATTAAGACTCTAGGATGTACTATCCTTAAACTCTTATTTTAAACTTATTTTACATTTTGTACTCTAACGGAAAGACAAGCTAGGCTTCAAAAGCTTTGACTTTGTGTTTTCAAGTCTCAAATACACGGACTGCATATTTTCACGACATAAACTTTTTGAAATAATTATCTAACAGAGTTAATACTTCACTAACAACTAAAAGAGTACATTGACAACAGTGTACGCTTACGGAGCATTTCATTTTAGGAGTGAACTGGATGCTTCTCGGTAATAAAAAAAGGTTAAAATCTTCACGACTGTGGCAAAGCCCATATGTGTAACGCAATGTAATGAACATCACAATTCAGGATACCAGTATTAAATATTCCTATTGAGTGACTCTGGATTTGAGGAAAAATACTTGAGAATATTTCCTGTCAAAACAAATGTAAAAGTGTCCCAGTAGTCATTTAGGTATGAATATATGTACAGATATTTTCATATGTGTCTATATGCCAGTATTTGTTCCTATTTTTCCAACCTTTAGTTCCTGAGCGTGGGGTCTAAGTGTTTTTTTCAGTGTTCGTATTACATAACGTATGAAACTAAGTGTACTTTTGTTTTTCTTTGAAAGCATAACGTGGGTTCGTCGCGAAAACAGTTGACACCACAAATCGCTCAAAAAATGTCCGTTCTTCCACCCGAAACATCAATGAAACATACCAAAAGTAACCAGGAATTTTAAATGTATGCATTCCACAGACGAATTCAGCTTCTCCAGTCATAGTCACATGTAAATAGAAGCAAGTTTTTTACGTGTCGATCGATTGGATTTATGTTCTTTTCGAGTGTACAAATAAATTGAGGCGAAGCATGGTGTTGGTTTACTTGAGTGGAAAATTCATCTATCAGGTATCACCTTCCTATCAATACCTGTTTCCCAGCATGCTTATAGTAAGGGGCCAATGTCGGACCCAATGAAGTTTTTTCCAAGCGTCCTGTCAACCTACAATGTACGCAGTCAATGTTCGTAAGGTCGGTCGCGATCACGGGTGGCAAGAACTAACCCAGAGTAGACAATCTTCGTACGCGACCTAATCTATCATATTATCTCCCTTACACCGTCTAAATATCAACGACGTTATAAGAAAAAATACGTAAGTTTTATTGTATGTGCATTTTTTTTTGGCAGAAACAATAGCCCATAATGCTATTGAGCAACCTAGTGCCTCTCATGAGGTGATATGATAGTCGTTGATCAATCCTCGTGCAATTATATATATATATATATATATATATATTGATATATATATATATTGATATATTCATACAGTGTGGGCAAAAGTCTCTTAACAGTTGGAAAATCTTCATTTCACACCTGTTGAAATAAAATGTAGTGAAAACAAGAACAACGATAGCAAAGTAAAAACTCCCAAGTTGTAAAGTGACTTTTTCACACTGCCGAAAAATGTTTGCCCCTTACAACATTACAATGTCATTGATATACCATGTCACTATAAAATGCCCGAGATGGACTACGTGCTATGTACAAATAACCGGACTTTATGCCGAAGAAATATAGAACAATGTAGGTTAGAGGGACTAATTTCCGTGGGTAAGATGTCTGGAGATCGTATCATCCTGGGAAAATGCACATTAGTGCATTTGCGTTCCGCTGAAACGCATGTATACAAATTACCAAACTATTGCTTCATTCATACAGTATGTGTATAAATATACGGTTTTAAAATAAACCAACATTGGCATTTGATCAATGTATTTCTGTTTTCTCTCCCTATGACCTTTTTTTCAAAACAACAGCTCTACAACGGGCCCGTTATACAACGTAATTTACAATGACTCAAAACTCGTTAATTATCATTCGACAATTTTTATCTGCCTATCAATGTCTATTTAGAAAGATCTCTTTTAATTGTGTAGAATACGTTTACGTACAAATACATTGTATATGACTAAAGACACCAACTTAATATTAGCGTATTAGTAATTTTTTTTATTTTTAAAATCTATCAGTAGCAATAATAATAATGATGGCAATGATGTTAATAGAAATGCATGCAGCTTTGTTGTCATCATCAGCGTTGATCTCTTCGCTACGTCACCCCTCTCGATTTATCTAGAAAACTGCGCAGCTCCACAAATGATTGGACTTTTTGCGATTCTAAAATCGGCGTTATCACCACCATTTCCGTTTAACTATTATTCTATGTAGCCGCTATCCTCATCGCCATAGCGGTGAACCCATTTACATGTGTTTGGCCCTCCTTCTCCTTCCCTTGTTTCTAATCGGGCGTTATTGAAGTTTCGTTTCTATCTCACTCCGAAACGTCTTATTATCGTCCGTCACTCTCAGTAGCCTGCAATTACTGATAATGCTCTCTTCCGGTTTTATTAGATACTTCTGCTGGTGCAGTTTTCTTAGATTGATTTTTATTAGCCACAGTTGTTGCTGTTTTGTGTGTATGCCCCTATTTATGGACACTGATATATATATACCCGCGGTGTAGATAGGATGGTGGCGCATTTTGCCTTACTTAAACGAATGCTTTATCATTGGCAGAAATAGCTTGTATTGGTTGGACGTGATCATCACCACTTGCGTGGTCATCGAGATTTCAACAAGAAACTGCATTTCCATATTTCTGCATATTGCACAGTATGCGAAGAAGCAAACTAAAGAAAGTTGGGCACAGCTACTTAAGTTGTTAAATACGTATTTTCCTGGCCCTAATAGTGTTCGTTTAATTTCGAAAAGAACAATCACCTTTTGGCTAGTAGCTGTATGTTTTGAGCACGAGCACGGTTGCGATTCGGTATTAGTTTTGTTGTTGCCTCTAGTTGATTAGCTGCACGTGCTAATTAGCAGACGACGTGTTTATCTTCATAACATAGAAGCTCAAATACGTATTAAATATTCCAACGTCACCATTTTCATGATGTCATTAATGCAAATGCTGTGTTGTGATATTAGCATTATCATGTCGATTTCTAAGTATATGTAATTAGTTAATTACGTTCGGCACAAATATATTTTTTCTCTCTGATATAACTTATATACAATTTTATTCTTCAAAACACGTTTAGAGGTCATTTTAATCATTTTTGATGAATATCATCACTTTTATTAATCAAGTTAAATAAGACCCGAGCTAAATGGGCCGAGCGGGTTTTAACCCCTACCTTAACTAAGCAGACGCTCGAGAGTCAGCAATTCCTGCGAGGTCGGACGGAAGCTCCCTGCGCCTCCGCGTACTCCGGCGATCGCCTTCTCTTTGGCTAAAAGCGCCGCCTTTAATTCACTCTTTATGATATTTAATGAGATTTTGCTAATGAATAGTAAGATATCTCATTGTTGCTTTTTAACCATTCTCCCTCCTCGCCAGTCATCGGTGTGACTTTGCTGTTCCCTAGATTAGCTGCACACATGAGGCATACTTCGTCATCTCTCTATCGCCATTTCCTGTCGTTTACATACGTCTGTGTACGTATAGACCGGCCGGGGTTCGTCAAGCAGATTGGTGAGAAAAACAGCAATGGCAAACTTCGTCTGCTGTGCAGCAGACAATATGGACGTTTTATTAAAAGGATCGTCGTCTTGAGACAGAAATGGCATAAAGCGGGCGGGCAGGCCAAGGTCGAATACTAAAATACCCATTTCACACCCAATTAGAGCACTCCATAGCGCCATTTGTTGGCACGTGGAGATTAAGTCGACATATTAATCAAATGCTCTCGAGTTACGCAATACAAAATATGGAATTGCAATTCGTATTCTTGTAAGTTTACGTTGAGCAATTGTACGCTGAGGATTTATGTCGACCTGGGCGGCCGGCACGTGTGCTGCTCTGTGGACCAGACGCAGTCAAAATGTTAACTGATTTTTAAAACCATGTCAAATCTATCTAATGGCAATTTAAAAATGCGCTTATTATACCTCAGATACATTGTCAAGTTTTCTTCTTGCTTTTCTCTATCATTAACGATAAGATAAAATAAATATTAGAAGAGAAAACAACAATGCTCTCTGTCGACTTTCCCCAGTGGAATCCATCTATACGTAGTTATTCGAGATCTGCTTTTGTATTTCTCCGGGTATAACCAATGGGCCCAGTTGCACACTTTACCCAAACGGGGTGACCATATATATATAAATGGTTAATATTATATGGCTTCAATTTTTATCTTTAACTTGCCATGTCATCCCTGTCTGTTTATCAAATGTTACCGTGGATGTCGCACGTTATTTTATGATAACAAATAGCTTGACTAATGCCATTTACACCGCACTTCTCAGCAATAAACTTTGCTGTTTGCGACAATACAAGCAGTAAATGAAATATGACGTAAAGCTGCTTAAAATTCAGAACAGATTCGCTTTCTTGCAACACCCCCAGTGGCTCAAGGCATGATCGTCGTCATTTCATACCGTTTACTCTTTGTCTATTCTAAGCCTAATCGTAGTGAGATCCGTTTTGTTACTAGCTGAAAATCATTAGCTTTTTTTGCAACTCTGATGTTTGTTTTCAGTCTGGTGTTTATGTAATACCGATGCAGCGAGGATTGCTTTCGCAGTTGCTGGGTTTCTGTTGCTGTTACTGGGCGGAATATTTTTTTGTCATACTATCACTGTTATTATCGCTTTTATGGCTTTGAAGGATAATAGAGATAAGCGCACGACTGACAATGTTACCATGGTAATAGGTTGACCGCATTGTCGGACGACGGATCTACTATATAGCTCATCAACTAGAGACGATCAAAAAATTCATTTGGCAAATAGGTCTCACCACTCACGGCCTGCCGGAGCGATCGACGCAAGTTACTTGTGTTATAAGACGAAAGAAATAGAGCTATTCCGACAAGTCGTGCCTTCCTTTCATTCTAAGCGTATTTAGAAATAGACTAGAAAGGTAAGCCTAATTGCATCTAGCCGTATATTAATTTCGGGTATATGGACTAACATTGATTCTCTTGCTTTTCAAGCTACAGGACGCCATTTTCTTGTAGCGAATATACCAGCGCAGCGATCATTCGATATGCTGCCCTAGATGTAAATCTTTCGAAAAGTACAGTTTTAAATAGTGGAAAAAATTCGTAGCTGTTTGTAGAAGAGGCTACGTAAGTGAACGAAAGTCACATGGGAAAACGACCAAGGGGAAAACGGTTCAACTTGTATTTTTGCAGCCTTTGTTGCGTCTTCGAAGTTGAAGCCGACGTTGAACCAAGTTTCAAAGGGATATATTTTTAAGAGCTCTTATAAAATGCACTCAGCCCTAAAGCAATACCTGTATGACAGTTAAGTCTGCACTATGCACGTCGCTCTGAAGCCTAGAAACTGCTCCGTATATAACAGTTGTTTAATTTTAAAATAAACAGTATTTGAACGGACTTAAGTAATGCTGTTTATATTCATCACTTTAAGACAATACATATTATATACGCTTGCATGTGAATCTCGTCGTCAGATGGGACCTTCGCTATGTTTCCATTTAGAAAAGTGAATTCTCGTAGCTCTTTCCCATTATGTAAATTGTTGAAAGCTGATTGATCCTAAAAAATATTATTAATAAGGGAGTTCCTAAGCTAATAACGATTTATTTAGATATACACATATTCAGCATTTAATTTTAATAACGAGTCATCAATTGTACCCCACACAGACGTGCAGATACGGCCTTAATGTTGGTGAAAACCTTGAAGTAACCTTATGTTACTGTTACCATTCATTGTGGTTTCCATGATGCGTTGATCATTCCAGTAGTTCTATTTTGGATCTACTATGGCATTAAACTCACGTATTGAAGGTCCCGAAACAAATGCATGCTAGACTGCCGATTGACATCCATATTGTATCTACTTCATCACCATTCTTTTCCTCCATCGCATATAATTGAAGAATCGTTATTGCCCTTTAGTTGGGCATCATTGCTTTTTTTCTGGCCAAAGATTACTTTTCTTTCGGGATGAAACCGAATTGCTCTATATATTATCTCTGTTTTGTTATTGTTGTTGACTTGTTTTCTTAGCTTCTTGGCCTCTACTCAGTAATTACTCGTCAACGACTAAAGTATTCAAAACAATATTAACAACAATGAATCCATACGCGTTCGTCTTTTCCACCTCTCCTTTTCAATGGCACTCGTTTAGAACGCATCGTTTAGGACGTTATCATCACGCGTAATTACATAACCTTTCCGTTGGGTTTCGCTGTCCCCTTTTATCCTAAAATTTCTATGCATCCATATTTTCAGTATCATAATAGCTGTCATTATAATTCTTAATAATTCCATAATTATACCTATACACATGTTAAAAATGCCAAGTAGCTATTGCCTATTCGTAATCGTTTTTAGATTATAGGTGGTTATAAACTTGTTTTCATCTATCTCTTTAAATGTATGTTTGTTTGTGTTTGTAGGTGGTTGCAATATAAATCATAAACTTTATGCTTTGTTTATTTTTCTAATTATTCATTTTACGTTATTTTTTTTCTCGCTAGTTTACCTTTTAGTTTGTCATTAGTTAGTACTTTTAAATTCTTAACTAAAGCAACAATCAGGGTTGTCAAAGAGTCCTCAGTCCTTAATACTATGGCTGGCTGTATAGGACTGAGTAAATTGATTCTCATTTGTTTTAATCTCTGTCAGTACTCTTCAGCCTTCTCCCGTTTGCTTCGTTTTTTTTTTTTGTTGAGCTAGATGATTCATCGCGTTGGACAATCACTAGGGAAGTTGATACATGCTTGTAACACTTCTATGGCATAGTTCACTGCGATTTTCTTTATCCGTGCTTATCCCGCAGCGGTTGTTGGTACGAAGTGGGCGCTCTTAAGACAGCCGCTGCTGAGTATCAGCTTGTACAGCATTCTACAGATAGCAGACGACGAAAGCTAAAACACGTCGTTCTCTATAGCCCGAGTAGCGATGTACTAAGCACGGTAGGCCAACAGCGGCACGATTCGTTTCGCAGCTCAATGACTGGGCTGTTCGCATTGGTGTCAGGCCCCGATGGCGTGAGCTGAACGTATTTTCCGTGTTGGTACTACAGGGATAAACCATTGACGGTTCATGAATCGGTGTCGGCAGGCGCCGCCAGAGGCCGTGCTTCCGTCGTTACTTGACTGCGCGACGTGGAGTCGCATGTAGAAGTGCCCGATCTGAAAAGAACCGACTGCAACTATTCAATCTTTGAAACTAAACAGCAGTTTAGGAAACCTACCGACGTTATGAGTTGGATCTAATGGCTCTATTTTTGGAGAAAGGAATGTGCTTAGTTCAAAAAAAGCTTCGAATGCGGATTTCAGATACATCTCATGTAATATATATATATACATATGTATATCTGTACCCTAATAATGTACTTAAATCAAGCGACCCACTCTTTTTTCACTACTTCGTACCTTGTAGAACTGCTCCCGCGCCGCCGTCTAGGAACCTTGTCGCGACCATGGCTTCCATGTTGACTTCCTGCGTGCCCGACTAGTTGTGTCTTTAGCTTTAATTGTTCACGAAGGTCCGATGATGCCTAGATAAAAAAGGCCAAATATTTTTAAGCGAAACAGCTACCTGGTGTCTGGACCTAGGTAGGCTGTAGAGAAGTTTTTTAAACTTCTTATTTTCATAAACCTTACCGAAATGTAATAGATATTTTGTCACCCAACGCAAATAGAGCTATATTGGCTTATAATACTAAATTCCAGTAATGACCTTGAATGAAACTGGAAACATATTACCAAAAAGATCTTTTTTGCATTCCACTTCATTGTAACTACACAAATATTTAATAGAATTAAGTATCGCTATGCCGTCACAATTAATTATTCTTAATAAATTTTCATAGTTTACAAATATGTTAATAGTGATGCTTAAGACTGTGCACAACGTACTTTGGCTAGTGCCCGTGACTGGTCAATAAACGCCTGTTTTTCTGTGGTAAACTGTCGAGCTCGCTCCTCCTTTTGGCGAAGTCGTTGGATCATTTGTGTTAACCTTTCACCCTCTAACACAGTCACTCGCTCCAGGCCTTTGCGGAAGCTCTGTAATGGGCCGATTTGTTATTTGGATGTAGATCATTAGTAATCCATAAACTTTTTTAGGTTTTTTTCTAGTTCCAACCTTTGAAAAGGAAAAAAACTTTACCCAGTTATTGTGAAATTGCTGGTATCAGTTTTCTCGGAAATAGGGTGCGTATGAGTATTAATTAAGACACGTTTGAAAAAATTACTTTAGTAAACAATTGCGACAGAGCACTTTTAACTTTAGCCTTCAACTGATCAAGGGGGAGCACTCAACATGGGCATTATCTAGTGATAAGATGGGCATTTCGGCGCTTTTAACACGTTCTATGCAAGGGAATTCCTATAGCTTTCATTACATCGTGACTGAAATTTGCACGCAATGTAACGTTCCATTCAGCTCCGTCGTACCACTAACATGGGTAGGTGGCGTAGTCCACTATTGATATTACGCCGTAAAGGTTGCATGGCTAAAAGAGCAAACGCGCCTACCTCATTGGCTTTCGTACGAATATCCAAAGAGTCACTGAAGCCGAAAGTCATGAGGTCCTTCGGAGCATCGGCAAGAAAAAAAAAATCCTGCTAGCCATACCTTTTCTCGACCCTCGCGATCCCTTTGTGCACGCCGTTTTTTTTCTTCTAGAAGTTCTTTAACCCTCTCTTGCGCCCGCGCGTTTGACGCAACTTGGTATTCGCTGACCTGAGCATAAGAAGTAGAATTAGGTTGTGAAAGCACGACCATAGTCAAAATCACAGAAGGGCAGATTGAGTTAGTGAGAGCTATGTCGCATTATTGAATTCTTAAAGATCGCGCGACCTAACGGTCTCACGCATCAGCCGCGCGACTCCCATCCGAACCCTCATAGTTCTAAATTGGTGGTTATACACATCAAAATTAACGTTTCAAATGTTAATGTGGAGTGAAAGCTCCTCAGAAGCATAAAAATCGTTTGTTTTAGCCCATATAAACAGCTTGACGTGTGCATACGGTTGAATGTCAAATGAGAACGAGCATTATGCTGTACCTTGCATCGCCACATATCGAGAGCTGCATCGAGTTCTTTTTGATTCTTCCTCGCCACAATGATTCGTCCGTGATGTTGCTCTCTGCAAAAAAAGACGGGACACACATCGCAAATATTTTGCTACTAATACATGTGTATTGTTTATTATTAACAGTGGTTGTATCTGGTTGTTAATTAAGGCATGGTGATAATTGTTTTTCTCTCAGTTACTATGCGTTACTTTAGCAACCTTATATTCATTCAATATATATATATATATATATATATATATATATATATATATATAAACCTAGTAGGTAAACCTAAAAAATGAACAAATTTCGTTTCAAGAGGTTTTGAGCTTGCGATTTCGGTAGAGATTATATAGTTCATTTAATTTAGCCTTGGTTGTACATTTTCTATATGTTTGCAAGGATGGGTTTTGAAATGCTTATGTGTAAAAATATTGCCACCATCACAAAAAATTTACGACTTTTAATTGCTTCTTATGTAAAGGAAATTGAAGCTTTAAAATAATAAATATAGGCTGCATCGCCACCTATATGAACATTCTGCATTTCTATTTGAGTTCGCCCTTTTCCGAAAGCAAACAGCTGCTGAAACAGCACGACATATTTTTGCCGTGAAGAGCGAACAATCTATAACTGTGTGAGGACCGCTGAAAATTGGATTTTGAAGTTTCCAGATTGGCATTTAACAACTAGAACTTGCAACGCATTCGAGAGAAAGTCACTGGTTCTCATGGAATGAAGTAAATGTAAAGATGTGGGTAAGGGCTGATATTAGAGTAATGTAGTTGCTTCCCTTGGTCCTTAAAAATTTTAGCGTGAGTCCGTACTCATAGTTTTAGCAGATGCGAAGCCTTTAGTGTTTAGATTCACGTAGGTAAGAGAAGTCGGCAAAATAGTTCTGTAACTTTGGGATTAGGGATGGCTTTTGTCAGGCTGATAATAGAAGTATTTACAACATTGTGTTGTCGCCGGGCGGACTTCGCGTCTGTCTGGATGATGACCGAAGTTACGTTTATGGACATTGTTAGCTGTTTCGGTTTATGCTGATGCGAGTAGAAATTATCAGCTATTTCAGAACTGGCACAAACTAAGGGAATCCGACTGTCTAAATGAAACAAAGCGTTGTGAAGTCCAATAATTGATTATGACACAATGTGATTTCCGGCCGATGCAACGTGAAGAGATTCCTTGAAGCGTGGGCCAAACGCCTCGTCATCTAATTAGTGCCTCCCATGGGTGGATTAATGACATTTCCACTGTGCTAAAGAAACCACAGCCAAGATAGCGCACTTGGATTGAATGAAGACCTTGTTGAGCTTGATGCTAATCTGACCTCGTCAAGATTCAAGACTAACACTTTACGCAACCCATTTGGAAGTCGACTGAAAGGTACCTTTGAAAGGCAACTCTTTGCGGCAGCCAGAAAATGATTTGTACGTTCGCGAAAAAATGAACTACGGCCATGTGAATATTGACAAGCACGTTAGACCTATGGGTTTCACTCGAAAATAGAGGGCATAGGTGCTCCCTCAATTAAGTGAACATCGCATCATTGCCTCTCCCTCATTACATCTCGCCCGGCAACCGTAATCATAGGCCTTCTGCACGAAATTGTCATCGATGATGCGAAGTGCTATCTCGATGTTAATTAAAGCAGACAAGAATGAGTAGCTCCGGAAATAGACCGCCTAACCCCAGAGATAGGCCAAACCTTGAAAAACAAATTTTTAGCGTTTGGGCTTGCTTTCGTGAATTTTCTACGCGTTTGTAAACTATGAACCACATGGCCTGCTAATGTAGGCTGTGAAATAGACTCTTTCAATCTTTCATTAGTGTAATAATAATATAATTGATACTAGTAATGTAATTATAATAAGGTGATAAATTACTATCATACTAATAAAACATTAATCGTCTTGAATATTAGGACAGTTATAATTTTTGGGGATCAAGTTACAGTCATTACTTTATATATATATAAGTTTTATAAACTACAGTATCTTTTGACCACCTGGGTATTTCCACAAGCCATTGAAGGAAACAATGACGAAGTTTTCTGTGAACTCTCTCTCTCTCTCTTTAAACCTATCTGTGCAAGATAGGTTTAAAAATTAAGACCTTGAGGATGTTTAGAGATGACAATACTTGACGGTATATTTTATAATATACTTTTTTTATGAAGTCACATCGACCAGTAAGCGTACCATAGGTAACAATACCATAGGCTGACACGATTTCTAAACTGGTTTGTGGAAGATCGATTGAGTGCAAACTCTCAGTTATGCTCTCTCTGTTGTACTAATTATGCAAATTATTTCTCTGATCTGTTTATCATTAAAAAGTACGAAAAAACAAGCAAAATTAAGTGCAGTATGTACTTTTTGCATATTCAAAGTTCTATTTGCAGACTTGTCAAATACACTGAGACCACTGCAATCAGTAATCCTACAAACGTCGATCTGCTATTTAAAGAATTCACGCTAAATGAGAGTTCGTCGAAATTCAGCACAAAGTTACACCGAAAGCTATATTATATTCTAGTCTACGTTTATTGTTGGAAAAGTACGACAATTAAACATTAAAAATTCTAAATCAACAACAAACACTTGCTTTGTCTATTTCATCAAATTCAAATACACCCGCTACGCCTGTTCGATGTTCTGTACTATTTCTCTTTTGATCTTCTCCCAGGGACCAATCGGCGTAGCGCGGGCGGGCTCACTAGCGCCACTGCACCCTTCGCAGCGGCAGCGGCGTCTGCACTTATTGTTACCCAGACGAGCCCCGCCGCAGCTTTTAAAGCTGCGCCATTATGCTTTCGTATCGATTTCGTGAAGTTTGAAGCATAGTGACGGCCCGCAGCTGAGCGAAGCTTCCGTGCCTGGCCTATTCCCTTGTCCGTAACGCCCCCGTCTAGTTGTATCTTTTGTTATCGTCGCAGCAGTCGAAGTGTTTAAATGTGTTCGGATACACCGTTATAGCTCACGTTATTGCTGGCTTGCGATAATAACGGCTAATTGCTAGTTGGACGAAACTAATACTAAAAAAACAACCAGTGCAAAGTGTTATTCCTACTGGTGAATTTGACTACGACCTGCGTTTTCCTTCAGATTTAGACAGCGGTTGTTTTTACGGCCGAAATCATCATTTTCACTTTACGCTTTGTCCTGTGTTGACATAGCAGAGGCGAAAAAACGTTTAGTTCACCCCGCTTTTTTTGTTGAGTGCCCCTCAGACGTCAATGCGATCGAAGGCGGTGATCCTGCCAGAGATTGCGCTGCGTGAGCCTTTGTTAAAAAAACTCAATAGCGATAAACCGCCATTAAATTGTACAAGCAATTGTAGTCTACACTGTTGGGCGAAAATAAAACCGCCAGCTAGAAATTCAAGAGTAGCATTTATCGGTCAGGCAATACAGAGACGATGAAGTTGCTGCAGAGTTCGCTTTTCGAGGCGCTTAATTCGGATCTCACCCTTGAATGTGGTGACTGCCGCATTCTGGGACGGTAAGTTCAGCTGGTGATCTCGGTGCTGATGGTGATAATAATGACGATGGTCGAAATGACGGATAGTCTACGATGGAAAACGTATCGATCTCCTGACCCAGTCGGAACTAGTATTTACTTAGTACACACGTAATCAACGGGAGGAGGGTGGGGGCAAAAAGTAACTGTTATCGCTTTGCGGCAGCTTCATGCATTTCTAAGAAGGACTAGCCAGTGGATAACTATGCCGGTTGGACTACTATTTCTTGCATCGCTAAGCCTAACACCCCCGCTAACGCAGAACATTCTCATAGCACTAGGCAATGCTCATTTGTAGCGTGAAATTTCTTGTAAAAACTACACTAGAAAGGCAGTCATTTGAGAACGATGGTATCGTTAACCTGTCGTAACACCCCAGTTGTGCAGTGTAGGCTCTGTTTTACATAAACTAAAATTATAAATGTGGACGTTTCACGTGAAAGCTGTTTCGACAAAAGGAAACAAGCCTAGTGGTCTGTTTTTTAAAATTGTTTGATAGCTAATTTTCGCTGATTAATCAAATATGTTCCTACGTAATTCCAAATAACAGACGTACTTACTGGGTAATAAGATCTAAAGAGCTATTGCAAAATTCGTCCGGACATTGAACTGAGTTATAATTTCCGTTCTGTCCTCATCGTCGTAATATCCCTAGCACACGGAAGTTTCACTTGATGCGTTCGTAACAGCAAAACGTTTGACTGCTAAGCAAAAATCTTATATACATACATTAAGCTGTTGTTTTGCCCAGCAAATGTTAACGCCTTTTTGCTTTAATATATTACCAAGTAAAGGCGCTGTAATTAGCTATTGCCGTTTGTTACTGAGAAAAAGTTTGTTGACAACTTTTGTAAACATGTCGATACGGTAGTTCATCTACGGCAGTGATTTTTTGCTGAGCGGCCCTTTTGCTTCCATTCATAAAGTATAAATCTTGGCTATTGCTATAGAACTTTAAGGATGCGCTAAGGGTGTAGAGGGTCATCGTATTCTATAAAGTTTGAATAAAGTGCAAAAGGTATCAGCTCAATCTGTAGACATCTTTGTATTAGAGAAGTGGTTATTTAATGGTGGTAATTCGAATTGTGCTAGACGAATTTGTAGTTAACCGCGTCTTTGATAATATAAGTATATGAAACAGATCTCGACCCACCCACAAAAATAGCTACTGCCAAATTGTCAGATCTATCAGATCTATCAGATTGTTATAGGACGATGCAATTTCTAGCCAGACATTGCGCATCCCCTTTTGGTGTCCCCCTGCTTTTCCCCGTCTTCTTGTCAAACTATCTCCAACTACAATTGAGCAGCCTCCACATACTCCATACCCGTCTATCATTGCGGGAGCTAAATCTTTTTAGACTCACTGACAGCGGCCTATTTTTCGATCAGGTCGAATCGGCAGCATCACCATAAGTTTATATTTACCCCTGAGCAGAACACAATCGCTCAGCAATCAACGATATTCAGGCTTTGAAATTGAGCTACTGTTTTGTTGTTGTCCGCCAAAGAAGAGATATTACAATGAAAAACGACAACTGGCAGACGTCATTGCACTCGGAGATCGACAAAGACGATGATGACGACGACAACACACCTGACGACGATAAACACTTGGTTTTTGGGTGACGGAAACAGCCCTCTGCCGCGCGCCATTTCCGACGTCTGTATCTAGTAGCTGAAAACAGCACATGTACATAATATCGACTCTCAAACTATGCCGATGTTTATCTGTGACTGTTTCATGGAGCTTTCAAGTGTCGTTACTGTTAGACAAACCAGTTGACTTCCCGTTACTTTTTCCCGTTTTGTTGCCGGTACATTAAGTATGATATATAATTAGCACACAAACATACTATTCTAGCGTGACGCATGTCTTTTGCTTTACTTTTACACAGTTTAACGCTTTTCTTTAACCGGATTATCTTCTAGTCGGTTCTACCCGCCGCTGGTAGCGGATGGATAGATAGATGGTGGCTTGGTTTTCAACTACGTTTTTACTGTGTAGATGCTGGGTCTGCCCAGTTGCCGTGAATGCTGTGTCACGCTAGTGTGCAACAACAACAACAACAATTAGCACGAAAGAAAAGCGACGCAAAATTCATAACAATGATTATTAGTGCATCGAATGTCCGCTGTCAAACGCGGCAAGCTAGTTGGTGCGATGCTGTGAAGAAGCGGACTTGTTTGTATTTCTGTAGTGTTTGGCAAATGGCTATCTATCGTCGATCTGACAGATTATTACGCTCATGGACAGAAGTCCGTCCAAGGCAATGATAATGTAGACGACTTAGCTTTGGTTGGCTAGAAAACCCTGGGGACGACATATCTTTGTTTGCTAAAACTGTATTCGCTCATTTAACAGAGTTGCGCCTCTACAGCGCTTATATAAAAGCCAGTATCTGGATCACTGTATAAATTCGTATGGAAGTTGGCTGTTTTTTATTCTTGTCTCGCTCATCCGTTGTTCTACAAAGATCATAGGTCTAATGCATCGAATCCCATTTAAGTTCTTTTAGACTTAACTTCATGTATTACATACGACCCTTTTTAAACAGCCACTTCATTGTATAGCTTACGATTTGGGTGATCTTGCGTACCTTAAAAGACTAGGCGCAAGAACTAGCGCATAACAGTAGCGTCACGATTGGCCCTAAAAATCACCACATAACGCGCCCTAGTAATACTTTCGGCTGTTTCCATTCTAGGATCGCAGTGCCCCTTATGTCAGGCAGAGTTTGAGAAATAGCTTTTAGAATACAAACGGCAGAGGCACACGACGTTCAAGTCTGCCTAGGACTGCTGTGCGAAAACATTCGAAGTAAACTTTTAAGTCTAAAACCGTGCGTAGGTCGAGAAAAGTTTGGACAGCACATCAAGGTCAGGGTTTCTATTAGGTGCATTAACAGTGGTTTTACTGATTGTGTCGAGCGTACGAACAAGGAGGAGAAGGAATGAGGAAACCTACTGGCAGAAGATCTAAATTTAGCTTGCACCTTTCGGGAAAACAACGTCAATGGAAAAATGGGCGATTTTGCTGCTTATAAAAGGGCGCAAATAGCTTGGCCTTTAGCTGATACGAGGCGAATGATGACTATGACGGCCATAGTCACCGTTCACTCATAAAAATAAAGAATACACTCTCATGATTATGCTGCGAACGCGGCGGCGAGCAGGCTTTCCAAAATAGGTATAAAAACATCAAAGCCAAGTAGTTTTTTTTTGCTAGCGAAAATGAAGAACGAAAACTTTCTACCGTAGCGGGAAAGCTGCCATTGCGCCAAAATGAGGTTAGCGGTTAACGCTACACCCACAGACCGCATCTCCTTGTAGCTGTCAATTCGACATTTGTGTCGTGATTCCGCATTGGGATGCTGCTATAATAATTCTGTAAGGGTGGGATATTCGGTCCTGCACATCGCCAGTATGTGCCTTTGTGTGTTGCTATGATATCTGTGATTGCAGCATCGAGAGTTACTCATGTAAAAGTACCAGTCAGGAGAAGAAGCTGTTCAGATCGTTATGTGGCGTCGAATGCGGCACAGGTCCGGATAGTCTCGAGGCGTTATCGCCACCCCAGGGTTATTCGACTAGTTTTGGAAAGAATAGCATTAGTAATGCGCCCCCAATGGTGGTAGCCTTTTCACCATCGTCGGTCGAATCTAGCTCAGAGGACGGGCCGTTTTGTGACACAATCTCGCGGAAGACGCTATTTCATCTCATTGCGACATTAAACGCGTTCTTCCTACCCGATTACGACTTTTCGCAAGCGAAAAGCGAGGAGTTCAGCAAAGAGCCCAGCCTCGAATGGGTGAGTTGACAAACGAGGCGTTTCGTTCGAGTCAATCAAATCAATAGTCAGTCCTTATGTCTAGTATGTAACTGAGACGTATCAGCTTGCTTTAGGTCGCCGTGTCTCCGAGTTCTCTTTCTATTTCGTAACGACGTATTGATGGGACGTTGCGATCTGGATTACTTTTCATGCGCATCCCTCGGGTGTTGTGAAGGTTATGAACGCAGTCGATAGTCAGCTTATGGCGAGCGCAGCGAATGCGTACTCATTGCCGCTACGGAATCAACTTTGGTCAGCGCTGGATGCCGAGGTGAAGCTCAACGAATGCGTGATCTATTCGTATAAGCCTGATTTCGATTCGGATCCGTACGGCGAAGAAGGGACATTATGGTCATTTAACTATTTCTTTTACAATCGCCGCCTCAAAAGGGTAGCGTTTTTCACTTGTCACGCCTCGCTGACGAACTCAACGTAAGTACTGGAGAATAAGTAGTCATATATTCCAGTTGAATCTACCTGGACATGGATAGTTATCTTCTTCCTTTTTGCTAGGAGAAAAAATGTCGACTATGCATAGGGTAACGTCGTTTCCACTTATTCTACTACCGGCAGTGGGAGGGACGCATATGGTAGTCAGGCTTTGATAGTTTAACCTTCTAATTTTTATTGTAGAGCCGAGGATACACGCAACCAGTGCTTCGAGGACGATTCATTAGATATGGAGTTTCTCGATCCTGTTGATGACCTGGATGCCAGCGTCTACTAATCACAGCAGTAATACGAAATCCTCGTTAATTATTAAAACCGGCCGTCGAAGCTATGCAACTACGCCTCCCAACGGGAATTGGAAGATCAGTCATCATATTGGCAAGTCGTCTCTAATCGACTATAATTAGAAATGCGGTGGCTAGGACTAATTTATAATATTTTGCACAAAGTATATGCATCTAAACATAGAATTCGTATAACAATCGTTCAATGTCTATAGGCGTACGTTGCGCTATACTATATAGAACATTGTAGAACTGGTTATCACTGGTAAACGTAAGCAAACCGGCGCTGAGACATTGCTGCCATAGGCGGCTTTAGACGCTCATCTATTACATAACGATATATCTTCATGTAGGCGGAAGCAGGATCGGAATCCTCATTGGACTTCGTTGTGCACGCAAGCGCACGAAACACAAAAGAAAGTAACGACTCATTAAAAGCGTGATAGGAGGCCAACGTCAGCATGCCACTTCGCGGCCAAATCGGATCGGTTAGATTGCTACGTCAACAAGGTCTCCATGGCTTGTTTTATGCTTGCTTTATTTGCAGAGTAGCTATTTGATTCACAAACAGCTGTTTTTAACGAACGAGTCATTTGATTCTATATAGCGTACCATTATCTGTCGAGGAGTCAAGTGGAAACCGTGGAGATAGTCACGAAAATCATCTGATACAAACTTTTGTTTCTTTTCTTTGACTGTTTTATTTAAATACGATGAGCATATAGTCCTGATCTCTTTGAAATGATATGGGGAAGTCGATGGGCTCTGTTGAGTGATACGGGGCATCCGTCAAGATCATAATAGCGTCGTATTACCATGGGGTTTAATCTTTTAATTTAGGTGCTTTTCGTGCTGCAAAGCTTTGCATATGTTTTGCGTTATAGATAAAGTTTGATCGTGTTACAGTTATACTCGATTATTACGTATTGCCATTCGATGACGAAAATGGCTGATAGCAATAAGTAGTAATGCCAACTAACTAACTCTAGCTGGATGGATGATGGCCAATCTATATTGTAGCAAACGTGTAATTCACTCCCCACCTGATGCGAACATTCCGACTCATTCAATAATAGCCTGAGGTGCCGTGGCCGACTGGACGAAGGCGTCTGTCGTTAGCAGAACTGAGACAGCGGACACTGTGGCCTGCTTCGCCTTGGTAACTACAAGCGTTACAGCCAACCTTGTAGTACAGGGAGGTACGCCAGGTGCACGCAAACCAGAAGAAAACACAGAAGACGCGGGTTCGAATCCCGTCGGTGCCCAGACTTAACAGTTTCAAACAGAAACATTTATAATGCTATTACGAAAGAGCGAAAAGAGACCGGATCTGGTGGCTAAGTCAAGAAGGCTTTGTTGATTCCATTTCTATCATAAACGGAACAACGCAGGACCTATGTCCTGACCCCGATGCCCTTGATGAGGCGCTGTTGTACCGGTAAACCTTTGCGATCTTCATGAGCGGGTCGCGATGCTCGAATTACGGGAGACGCGGGAAGTGAAAAACATGGGGATACAATATGGAAGTCATAGTTTCGAATGAAATCACTTGTCATGGTAATGAGACATGCAACGCAATAAACCGATTGTGATGGTTTATAGCCTTCTACAAGCGATAACAATGAAAACATTGTTAGGACGAGCGGTCAAAAAGTGTGTAGGGAAGTTAAGCGCACTCCTTGATGATTTGAACTAGACAAACAGTCAACAAATGGTACTTATGGTCACAACAAATCCACAATTTTTTCATTGGCAGAAAAAAAAATTCTCACTTATTCGACATCATTGTAAAAATATTTGCTTCTTCCAAATTATTAACTACAATGCCCTCCGGTTTGGTTAATATGCCCGTTTGTTTGGTGGTTACAAAAGCGGAAAGGAAAGGACTGGCTATTAGTATTATTATTAGTAGTATTATCGTTACGAAACAGGCCTCATGAAACGATTGCACAGTCAGGGAAGTGACTTCAGATTATTGTACATTGCTTCAAGCTTCATTGAGGAAGTCTTGTGAACGACAAGATTTGTAATTGCGATCAGGAAAGAGAGTGAAAGAGAGTGTGGAGTGAAAGAAGTGATACGAAGTAGTAAGATAGGAACGGCAGTCTTTGAACTGGCATGAAGTAGCAAATGGGAATGGGGCTCAGTTTTTGAAGCCCTGGACCCAGCTCAGCGATTTGAACTTGTACACATTTCTGTATTATATGTGTTAGATAGTAAAGAAAATGTAAGTTTAGGATGAACCCGAGTATGATGGGCAGGTAAGCGGTATGTACAATGCGACATCTACATCATAGATATACATACGCGATTATACATCGGATATTTGGATGTAAGCGAACGACGGAATACGATAGAACGGACGAGAATAAAGGTGATATAACAATGACGACTCTACTAAGATACTTGTAGTCGTTCTTTCAAATCAAAGTTTTTTTTGTAATATTTCAAGATTTCTTGCAATGTGGCTGGCGCTAGCTAAACAGATAGAGGGAAAGCTGCGTGAAACTAATGGAATTTGTGTAGCGAGAATCGCCCTGGTAAAAAGAAGCTTTGACTGCCTATTATTATGTAGGTTTACTGAAAAGGGGTCATAACTAGAGATCGACAAACTAGGGTCTATTTGACAATGGAATTATTTCGAAATATATTTTGCCCGAAGAAGTGTACACATGTGTAGATGGATAACCGCTGATAAATGATATGAGAACAGCTTAAGCACATCTTTCCGCCAATACAAACAGTAATAGTAGTAATAACAATTATTATTAGGTTCAAGAGCATTTTCTAACAAAATTGGCCAGAATTATTCAACCTGATGGATCTTTCTATCCACGGTATTAATTTCTGAATCGTTTTGCAAAAAAAAATCTTCGAATCGTCGTGGGCGTAAATACTCACGAGCTTCGCTGCATTTCCTGTTCACGTTCGTTCCGTCGAATTCGAACTCTCTCCTGAGCTCGCTCTTCCTTTTCCCGAATCTTCGCCTCTAACTCCTGCACCCGATTTCGTACGCGCTCACCAGCGGCTCGCAACCGCTCGTCAGTAGCCTACCGAATCCCGAAAACAAAACATAGCTCGGTGAGTAGAAAAAAACAGCCAACAAAGAAATTTGGTCAGAGTGGCACCTCACCGAACTCAATACTTCTCCATTCGACATGAAGGCCTGATGTACTTTGGGTTGCGAAAAGCCTCCCGCGCCCCCTTTTACTGAGTACGTAACTGCACATTTGTTACTCCGGTCACCATAAAATATGTATGCCGTACTGCTAGAAAATAGCAGGTTTCACTTCGAAGCTCTCCAAACAGCTTTAGACGTTCTTGATCAGTGTATAAGGATATGGAGGCTGCCGACCGATCGTCTGCTTTGCAGGAAGCATTTCACAGTAAATCATGTCCAAACGCGAAATAAAAAAAAAAACTAAAAAAGAGAGAAAGCTAGTTCAGCTTTTTTCTAGACGCTATTTCTGGTTCATGTTAACATTAAGACATCAACTTTCATCGCCAGTCAAAACTCTATGCAAAAATTGGTCATTGCGGCTATTTGATTCTCGATACCGGGCAAGATATTCAGGTGCAGTGTCAAGTCGTAGTTCCTTGCTGGATTTAGAGTTAACTCCTTTAGGTTCGGGCGTTTCTCGCGGGCTACGTATTTTCTTACTTTATATCGACGTGAAGATACTCCTCATATACTAGTCACGATTGTGTACTAAAACCTATCATTGTGGCTGCGTGTTGTCTGACATCAGGAAAAACGTTGAGAGGTTAAGAAAAGCCATGGTTCTTTGTGATTTTCATTCAGTTCAGCGCCAAGTTCGTCATTTTTGGCTAAATCCCATAAAGTGCCTGTCGGTAGGTATACGACTAAGCCTGCTTTTTCTATCCATTTCATGAATTATTTTCCAGAAGTGTTACGGTAAACTTAGTCCTCATCAAAACGGGGTGCATCCTTTAGTTACAAAATGCTATTTTAAAATTTCGCCAACTAATTTTGAGCGGTGCTTGCTGCGAGTGGCAATACGGCTTTGGTCGGCAAACGGCGAAATGGTGTTGATGCGGAAGACACACCATTTTCTTATTGAAAACAAGAAATTGAAATTTATTAAAACAAGGAAATGCTGAAAATGTTTTCTACGGGCAAAATATTATATAATAATAAAAAAAGACATGCAACCTTTGTATTCGTGGTTATGATGCTTGAATTTTACTTCGAGCTCTAATAGCTTGTCGAACAGTTAGTTCTTAGCCTAAATTGAAGTAAGTCGAAACATTTTTTTACTACGTTTCAGCAACGACACAAACAATTAGGTTCTTGGCCATTACATTAGATCGACCAACAAGAGAAATAACAACACTTTGCCTCTGCGAAGGTTCCGGGCAACGATAAAACGATGTGTGTGTACGGGTGCATGCGAGTTTTGTTTTATCTTGTTTCTTCGAGGCGTTAGCGTCATCGACTGAGCTGTCTGCCGCGGCTTCTCGAGACAACTGAGCTACGTTTTCCCACAATACATCATCTGTACATGCGCAGTACCTAACTACTCTGTACCAGGTTGGAGTCAGTCGCTATGTCTATGGGTTCATCTGTTGCGCAAGAAGTCAACAGCATTTAGTTTAGCCGCTCCTTAACGGAATTCGAATGTAGGTCGATAACAGATGAGCCTTAAGTTCCTCAAAGCTCGGCAACAGGCGTAATTTGGCCTGTCAGTTACGTCAATTGTTCAGGTCACATAAAATACGCCTGTGCGTGAAGCAGAACTCATGAGATTCACTAATGTTAAACTATCTAATGAATATATTCTATTTATTTTATTAAAATTTTATTAAATTCATTAGATAGTTATTATAATCATAAAACCTTAGTCAGCTCTATATATATAGTTCCGGCTATGCTGTTCTAGTCCACAAAGCAATCGAGCACTACTAGCATTAACGTGGCTACTAAGCTTCATAGAAAACTTCTTCTCAGACATGCTTACAGGGCCACTGAAGACATAATCGCTGGCTACTTATAGTTTTTATCCGCCTCAGTTGATGCTTTTGAAGATAAAACGAGTCATGCCACCGCGAAAGACCGAAGTGTCATGTCCACTGTGAGGAAACAGATAAAGGATGGGAACAGATATATCGAATTGCCTAGTAATGGACGAAATCTGTTCATTCAAGAGGCAACGTGAACACTGCTTTCGGTTATTATCTCCGAAAACTAAAAACATAAGGGCCCATTTAGAGACTTCAATGATCATAGACTCTAATCATATTGGTAATGAAAACGGAAAATTTTTTTACAAGTTTGCAATGATTTCCGGTGACAGTTACTTTTAATACGGTGGCATCCAATAAAACAGAATACTTGCTAACATAACATAAAAATTGCCGCAGACATTACAATTCCCAATTCCAAATAAATGATATGGTGCTTAAGTTAATAGTCATATAAAAATAAGCGGCTCCTCAAATCGGTCACTCTTAGCCATTTACCAATCATGTGAGAAACTACGCGTTAGTTGACAAGGACAGTCAGAGAGGAGCCAGAGAAGTATCTCGATGCACGGTTGAATATTTTTCATCAGATTTCTGGATGTTCTGAGAGAAAAAGAAATCGAAATTGAAAGTTTCTACTAGCTACGTACTGGCAGGAATGTTTGACTACAATTTCATACGTTTTAAACCTGTGTTTGTGTGCTTGTCGTAGCGTACAGCTGCGATAGGGACGTGTCTTCAGCTTACATGTCGCCCTCCAGCCATGATCCAGAGTTTCATAGTACAAGGGTCGATCCAAGTGCAATGAACGATTCGTGACAGAAGGGGCACTTATGAATCCTTTCGTTGTAAAATAAGCGATTCAATGGTCATCAGCCTTCACGTACTCCTCATGTATTGTCAACGCCAGCTGTAGTGGCGAGTTGTGCGTTAGGTAAAGGGAGACCCAAGCTCTGTGTTAGAAAACCTTGATGGCTTGAAATCTCAGGCTAAGTGTTTTTAGGGTTTCTGTTTAGTAGGGTTAGATAAGAAAGGTAAAGACGAATTAGTAAGATCCTGTTTGTGAACTCTGTGATTAAAAAGAGGAACTTGCTATTGTGAAAGGCTATTTCACGCTAACAACATGTATCATGAGTGAGGCACGCAGATCATTTAATTGAATAACTTGAACAAAGCGTCCTTGACGTCCTCTCCTAAACGCAGTGAATACGCCTTGTCGAGGCGCCTGAGCACAAACTATTTGTCTCGTATTGACAAGGTGGCGATCACCAGTTTGAAGTATATCTTGATACTCGTAGACATCGACAACAAGAATCAGTTTTTATCGTTTTGATTTTAGTGGGGTGCTTGAACGTTGCACGAAACAGTTTCCCCCTAACTCAATTACAAAACATTTAATTAAACGGCAAACTTTTACGGAGGAGCTACAGAGGGTCGATTGGTAATCTTCAAGGCCAGCGATATTCTGGTCTGTGTGCTCAGCTCATCAAGTTCCCATCGTGTAGTTAAGGGCATTCGAGCGATATACTTGCCTTATTTTCAATTTTCCTTTCGTAGAATTGCGTTGTCCTATGGAAACGTGTATTTACCAGATAGTCTAAGCTTAAAACGACCACATTCAAAATCTGTCTGCTCACGTTTAGTCTTGCGCACATTTTTTTCGGCATAAGTTCTCATTTCGCTCCATGTATCAGGTCGTGATGCCAACATTCAGCCTGCCGCTTGTAATTTCTGATTGCGTCCACAACGAGTTCCAATGGCGGCCGCTGTATCGGATTCAGCATTCGTGTCCAACACACGCCAGGTCAGTTAGCTAATCGGGGAGCGGAAAGGGCGTTCCACGTATCGCGGAAGAACGACCGAAGCAATGGGTTTAGCGGGAGGGACAATATAAAAGCAAACCATTTCGAAAGTGATGTAACATCAGCATTAGTTGGAAAACGTTATAAAAGCCAATCTAACTTCGACTATCGCGCAAGAACAGGTGGTGGAGCGCATTTATTTCAGGCGAGCAGACGGTCGGTCATGGTGCTGACTTACACCTCATACAGTGTCCACCAGCGTGTGGAAATCGCATGGATTCAGCAGGTCTGGAAGATATGCGGTAAACAGCCTTCAAATAAGGAAATTCGACTTCGGCTGAAGCTGAACCAAAACAACCTAAATCTGTAAAAGCATATGAGGCTCACGGAATTTTTTCAAATGTTGTTTAAGGTAAGGTGATATTTTAGACCCGCATGGGTCCTTTGGACAGACATGCGAAATCGTGGCGACCTTTTATTGCTATATATTCGAACTGAGTGTTAATTTTAAACACTGCCGACTCGAATCGGATTTTACTAGAAAATTCGCGTTATAGAAAAATCAGTACTTGTGTACTTAAGCACGTTATTAATTAAATGAAAATTATATAGGACATATTCAATAACTACTACCTATCCGTTAAGTTCACTAATCGGATAAAACACGGGCGGTACCGCTCGAAAACGTAATTACAAAAATGAACAGTTATTAACTCCGTCGTATTGCATTACTCTACATAACGCAAAAATTTGCGGAAAATCGAAAGCGACGTAGCCTACAAGCTTTTATACACAAACACTCCTAGAGGGAGCAATGTTTGAACGGCGATTCATCATTATCCCCCCTGAGTATTATTTACAACAATGTGATGACGCGTCATGTGGGCTATCTCTAGAAAAACAATAAAAAATCAACATCTGAAACTCACGCTTTTTGTAGGACCCTGTCGTCCTGAGGGATTGTGTTGCAACTGTAACTGCAAATGCATCTTTGCGATACGCTCACTTAGCTCGCCAGGTCGCGGAGGCGTCTTTCGTTGGCCTCGGCCCATAACCGTATCTCCTTTGGCATCGTTCTTGCTCCCTTGGGCCAGGTTTTCCCTTGAGGTTCTTGATGAAGTGCATTCGCTAGCGACCCAATCGGGTGTCGTCGGCTGCGATTTGTACATGCGTTTCTGAAAAATCGAAATATGAAAACATGTTTACGCTATAAGTTTTAAAAAAGCTGAAGGATCGTAATTTAATGGCAGACAGAAAAACGTTTTAGCAGACATGGCATGTAATATTGACACAATGCCATGGTTCATTCAACTTTTACCGCCAATCACAGGCCCCCGTTTCTTTGAATGAAGACACAATCAGTCCGTTTATCCACATCAGGCGACCTTCTAAACGATCTGGAAATACACGTACCTACCATAGCAACAACGATATCGTTGGAAAACAAACAGAAGGACAAAATACATTTCCATTTGATATGCTTTAGGATACTTGCACCAGCAACCACAATAACCTCTCTTGCGCTCAGCAAAGACGACATCCGTCTGCCACGCCGTAAGTTACCGTTTTGTTAGCATTGTGTTCGCCCTTTGTCGTAGTCTATCCAGCTAAGTAGGCAGTATCAATTCGGGCTGATAAGTCGCCATTGCAAACCCTGATCATAGTGTCGAACTTTTATCATACATATGCTAGCTATATCGTAGGTGTATCTCATTTAGTGTACTGCAGCGTATTTGTTACTCTTTTATTTGTCCCGTGATTTCAATGTGTAGTAACCTAAATTAATACGACATAGCATATATAAACGAGCCATTTCATCCGACAGTCAGCGAACTGACGTTATCGTAGTAGCTTTGCTTGTTTCGGCTAACGCTATGAGACGCAACGTTATTCATTATTACGCTGTCGCTTGAACTTACATCAGTAGTGCTATTTTGTTGATCAGCTTTGCCCTTGTCTTTGACCCGTTTGAGGCTTCTTGTTTTGAGAGCTTCTTCTCGTCTTCGCCGAAGCTCTTCCCGCTCGCGCTCCCATTCTTCATGTGCTCGTCGCCGGCGTTCTTCTGCCTCTAGTTCGGCCTCTCGTCGTTTCACCATCATTTCAAGTAGACGAATATCCTTCACGGGGTAACGTCGTCAACAACCTTGTTGTTAGTGTCATTCGGTTTTACCAGAAAATATATGTACATATACGTGAAGCTTCTAGCGATTATGTTTACCGCTATATGGTATGAGAATAATGTATATATACATGACTTACTTTAGGGGGTAATTTAACTTTAGTCGAGCGGGTCAGATTGCTATCGTCGAGACGGGAGATGATCTTTGACGAAGCTAACGGAAGAAGACAACCCACTTGTAGACTTTGTGCTTTATGGAACGGTGATGCTGGGGTACTTTTACTACGTGGAAGACTTCCACTTGGCCGGTTCACCATCTCGTCCTCCACCTGCATCATAGTTGCAGTAGAAATTTTGTAATCGCAAACCGCGGGAAATTTTTACTTTCACATTTTAGTCACACACGTAGTTAAGCGATTCGCGGTGTATTTGGCTAAAAATTCCGCTGGTGCAATTTGGTTGTCTGCGCTGGATCATATGCATAGAGATGAAATAAAAAAAGACCATGCGCAAAAACTGTAGGAGGATACAGGAAAAGATAATGGGAAAATATTTCCGGGCGATCAATACAATAATCCATGTAATTTTAACGACCGAATGTTTTGTGTTTAAAAAATCGACATTTCTTCTAATCAATGAATCGGTATAGCTAGACAAGCCTTTTCGTTTGCCTACAGTTAGCTCTCGAATCATGCAAAAATAGCGTGGTTGAATGATGGATTAATAACTTTCTGTTGAAGGATAGGGAAAACCATTAAGAATAATCAATCATCTTACAGTGCTATCCCCGAAGCTTTATTGAAACAACGTTTTTGTTTTAGGAAGTTGTTTAAGTGGGACTGAGCTTCTTCAGGTCTCATCATTGATCTCGGATAAGAATAAAAACAATGTATACTACATCCCAACTAATTCGTTAACAGCAATCATGGCTAACGTAGAAGTGAGTTCAATATGTTTCCAGCTACATGAATCTATCAATATTAATTATTGAATTTATTTTTTAAAAACTAACTTGTTTGTGAATAAATCTTTCGTCGAGGTTTCGTCTTCCTGTTTGTTATTTAAAGTTTTAATAGTAGGTGTATTTAATTGTTTGAACAGTGGGAGCCGATTAGGTTGAGTTTCGGAGCTTCGACATTATTCAGGAGTTGTGAACATCGGTATCCCGTATAAATATATATATATATATATATATATATATATATAAATAATAAGCCCAGGCTAAATTAAGTTCCTAAGGGGGGACTGAAAGACTACAAGGCAATATTTATGTACGAGAGGAAAAGTTGCTTAATTGTATCATTTTCAGTATCATGGCATCATAAGAATCCTTGTTAACCTCCGTAGTGCGGTTAATTTAGTGACAACAGACAGTGCTTTTGCTTACTAGAGCACTTCTTGGAAACCTGTTGATTTAATGCGATACACGATGGCGTATTACCAATGAAAGGTTAACTAAGACGATAGCCCGTACGGTTTACTACTTAATTACCTTCATGGTAATGATGCTGATTTAATCTAATAAGGTAGGTCATTTAAATCCCATACTCTGCAATAACCAAGAACACCCTGACATGCATTATACTACTAATAAATTCCTAAAAACATGTTTCGTCGATAGCGTTGTTGAAGCACATATAGAATATTTGTAAACATCGGCATTAACGGAGAGCATGTTGCAACTTATACATTCGATGTGACTAATAGAGAATTAGCTTACAGATACTTGCGTATAGAGGTCAAGTTAAATAGGTTGCTGCCACTATCACTATCTATAATAACCATAATAAGCCATTCCGGTGGACTGCAAAACGAACTAGCTTTTGAATTATGCGCCCTTGGCAGACGAAATTCTCTTGTCTCCAGTCTTCTAGAAACTTATAAATGAAACCCGGCTTAATTTCAAAAAGATATGGGTTCAGAGGGAAAAAGATTTCTTCTCGGAGATCAACGCTCAGTAGTCAAGAATTTGTTATACAAAGATCACAAAGTTGCAAAAATGTGTGAAAAATGTTGATTAACACATTAGACAAGGAACCCTTATCGCCACGCCTCAATTACTTTTTGTACCAAGCAAAGAAATATTCAACACTGGCTTCAACCCGTTCATTCTCCCGTCCGTGTGCTTACGGAGCTGTCCTTGCCTAAAATGGGCAACTAGTAGGAAAGCGTATTCCACCATCCACTAACTTCGGGTTTTACAAACTGTAAGTAAATGACGGTTCTGTAACTGCCAGAGCGCTGGCACAGGTATGTAAAGATAAACAAGTGTAACTGAAGTCGTTTGTAACAGTCTTATGTAGAAGTAAACACATTGAAAAAAACGGTCATTACTCAGGTACCGACTTGATAAATACTATAAGCATATTAAGCGAACTAAAATTTTATTTTTTTTAAATTTAACAACTTTGTGGTTTTGTAAGTAATTGGAATGGTCATGATGGGTAATCAGAGTAATGTAAAATAATTCATATACACGAGACAGTGTAGTCGACGTGTCTAACTCTGATTCTAAGCTGTCGAAATTGGAAGATTTTTTTTTAAAAAAGCGGATATTTAATAACAACGACTTCTGCCCCGTACCTCTATAGCTATCTAGCTTATCTTGTATTTTAAGTGAACATTCAACGACGTTTGGTTGATTTATTAGCATTTTTTACGAAATTCAGTCATGCAGAAAGATGGCGACAATATTATCCTAGCGTTCGTATAGGGTCCAACTGCTTGATTCGTTCATAGCAAAAACTGTATAGGAAGAATTACCAGATATTTAGTTTGCACAAATAAAAATTTGAAAATTTTTCAATTTGAAGAGTCTTAACTTGAAAAATTGTTATAGAAACAAGTTCTCGGTAGAAATTGCAGGCTTTGGAAACGAAAATTGAATTCTTAGACAAGCATGTAATACCCGGTAAATTAAAGAAAGGATGCATGCCTTCCGTGGTGATAGTGGTATAGGTGAATAAATTCAGGCAGTCCATTCAAGTTTACCAGTAAAACGGTGGTCAGTATAGGAAATTAACAAAAATTGCAGTTTTTTTTGTTAAACGCTGACAACACTACTCAATAAAAATAGATACTTCGACCGCAAACGAAAAATATTTTTTTGTTTTAAACCCTCCAGCCATATCACTGCTCGATTACATCCCACAACTCGTTTCTATAATTATGTATATTGCAGATATATTTATGTTGTTGGTATAAAAAAGAATAAACTAGATTAATACTCACACTCAAAATGTCGTGATCCAAGCTTTCCGCCGTCGTGTGGGAGTCACCCCCAGGGGTAGAAACCTGCGGAGGCGTCTCAGGGGTTTGGGCTTCTGTATGTGACGCACTACTTTCCTTTTCCTCATCTAACTCGCCGATAAATTGTTGTCACCCACAACACGAGAGAACAAAAACAGAACGTTAGTGAAATGAATAGTAACTTTGCGATATTAATATACTTCTAACATGTATAATACTGATAATTTGAGATATTAGAACACCCACACACACATTTGGTTAATTCTCTACTATGGAAAGCGGACCTCAACGGTAATAAAATGGTGGGATTCGTTCTACGAAATGTATTAGTTTTTGCCCGCAAATTTTTAAAACTGATTAAAACTTCGTTTTTCCGCAGTACTTGTTTATAACAATGGGAACAATTGAGCACTATATTTACGCTGGAGGATGTTGCACACCTGAGACCGCACTTCATCTATAATATAGATAAACAGAGAGAGGAAGCTACCGGTTTTGCGTTTTAGTAGGACACATGACAATACTGCTGCATTCTTACTTCAGGGCCTTACATTAGTACCCCTGTCACAGGGCAAAATGGACGGAAAATCATAAGTGGGTAAAAAAAAACTATTTGAAGTTACCAGTTTTTATACTGCACTTACGCAAAGATATTATTCAAGTCAAAACTCCCGACTTTGGATGTCCCTGGCACTGATAGATGGTTCTCATAAAATGCACAACTTCCACATTGAGCACATTTCGGCATCATTCACTTCTATAGCATAAATTTTTGAGGTATTTTAGAAAAATAAAAGGTGTGCATCTTTACAGTTGATCATTAATCCTTACCAAATAATCAGCCAAGTCGGTATGCTCAAGAGGTATGTTACCTATCTGCATTAAGGCCAATGAAAGGCATTCGTATCTTCGGAATTCTCATTTGCTTTTACCGCCACCTAAGATCCTACCGGCCAATTTCTGCTACAGAATTAGGCCCTAGAAGATACCCACCAGTAAGTGACCGTGTGTGACATTTCTACACATTGTGCTCAACGACAAACTGTGATCATTGAATAATCGGGTTACGACTCGGTAGTGGAACAAGAAGGAAAATTTATCTTAAACTTAATTTGCAATAAGCAAAATTGACCAATTGAACGAGAAGGAATGCAGCTTACCGGAGCTCCCGGAAAGGACAACCTCGAGGATAGGCATATCTACCCGATTTCGTCGTCGCCCAGGAGATACAGACTGTGATCGGTGCCTCTTCAGCCGTTCCATGTTCAGGATATATTCACGCTCCTTTCGACATCGTTCCAGTTTCTCTGTGAAAAGCCCAAAACAAATGAATTTGAAACCCCGTAACAATGAAAATTTCTGTAAAGTTATTTTTCTTCACTTTGCACTGCTTATATAAGCCTAAGTAGGTGTTAGAAGAGAGAAAATGTAGGAACGGGAAACTTAGTCGAATTATTCAGACATATGTTTGGTAAGTCAGATTTTGTGCGCATTCAGGAAACACATGCAGGGAACCTTGTACAGAGAAAAGAAAATGGCGGACAAGCAGCCGACCACTGATTAAGAAACAGGTGCGTTAAAGGATGACGAAGCCGAAATTATTTCATTTCTGGATAAATGAAAATGAATGTATTAATGGAAGGCCGTTATGTAAGCGTATAGAGCTCGTGCCACATTCGTACCGTGTGCAGAAATTAAGTCGCTAAGCGAGAGCAGTGTTCACGGAACCAAAATTGATCCCTCTCAATATCTCCAATGTTTTCGTCCCCATTGCATAGATCTTAGTTGAGCAAGCTAAGAGATTTCTTTTTTATGTGCCAGACGTAATACACGAAACGCTGTCTACACTGTCCAGGGGCATAATGGTAACGTGCAACGGGGAAAATTTTGTCCCGCTTTTATTTCAAGTTAAGTTGTACGCGTTAAACTAGTGAGTAAAGTTTAATATATGTACTGGGTATACAATCCCAAAGTGAACAGAGCAAGAAGAAAATCTTGTCATTGAATTACTGATTTGTGCGGATGTAACTACTAATTGCTAGAGAATGTTACCAATATGTAATATTCTCTTTAGAATTTTTTATTATTATTTAGAAGCTGGGGCTGTCAAGGGCACGAAGCGAAAGGGAAGCGAAAGGCACCAGAAAAGAGCGCTTGTCGTACCAGCGAGGATAGCATTTGTGATTTTGTGACAGAGAAAAGGGAAGTTATTCGTACATTTAGAAAGCTTCTAGCGTTTCATGAGCTCACGACGCCAAAGTTAATGCTTACCGAAAGTGCAGTTCGACTTCTTTAGTCTGCTATTTAATTTAACAATTATCTGTGTCTTTGCCTTACCCTTAAATCCAAAAAGAAGGAACGGTTTTTTTCCACTTAAGTGTACTTAATAGAAGAGCTTGTCTAAAATTTTCCGCAATATAAATTCTAATAAATTATACGGTTGTACAAGTTGGTCCGAAGGTATTATTTTGTGGGCCACAAATTTAGATTCATATTATTCGAATAGAAATATGTCTTTATGCCGACTAGTGAGATACCAATACCTGCAAGCGACGAGGTAAGAGACAGGAAACGGGCCGCGTATGCCTCATAGATTCTAGGGATCTCATTAAAAAAGGATATTGATGGACGCTACCTTGTACGTCGGGGCCGCCACATTCGGCAGCAAATTTAGCCACGAGTTGTTAAGAGCATCCAACTCTTGAGTGAAACTCTATTAAACTTCACTCGATAATAAACGAAAAAAAAAATTTCCGTGCTTTTAAAACCGATCAGGTGGGACACAACACAAGCGATTCTCAAGCGAGGCACCCAACAAGGAAAACATTTCGACTATATATTTGACCCTTATCTCGAATCTTATTTGGATAACTCGAATCTTTATTGGGAAACCAAGGTGCGTATATGTCCAGCTTCTTTCGGCCTATATTACTTAACGTGCCCTAAGTTTGATGGCACGCACGTTACCACCACAGCATACCGAAGTGAACTCTTGTCTTGCGCACCACGGTATAAGTGGAATATTGCGAAAACAACATCAGGAATCTGGTGGAAAATCGAAGAGGAGGATTTCAGTGGCCAGAAAGCTTTACTAAGGAACCAATGCTGGGTTATACACTAGGTGTATTCGGCATCTGCACCTTTTAAAGTTGTAACAGAGGACTCGCGATGACTCAGATCTATTCTTCTAGCTATGCTAGTTGGCTGCTGAAGTGAAATCAAAGCCAATGGTTATTTAGGAGTTCTTTGCACAGTACGTGCCACGTAAAATAGTATTTCACGTTATACGTGTTGCGTTGTATATAAACATTGTTGCTTTAACAGATACGTCTCTTGCCGTAAAATCTAAGTCCCTCGTTCGAGACCTGCTGTACGACGTTCGCTTGAGACAAACAGTGACGGGTTCTCTCACGCTCTGAGTTCCTGGCGGTATCTGCGCGGTCTGATTGAAATGTTGAAAATTACTATAATCCGAAAATTGCCGTAGGATTTTTAGAGCCATGAAAATGTCATCAGGTGATCAGCGACTCATAATTAACTGATTTCAAACGTGAGGTGAGACAGTGATTCCATGCAGATATTTATACTCTTCAAAAATTAAACCGTCTCTTAGTGCACCATGAGTGGTACAATTTAGGAAGATATTGACGCAGGCTTTTCTGCAGCAATCATGTGAAGCAAACCTTCAAACACATTGGCAGTTTGAGCCATGTAAATTTTTTGTGTGAATTTTTCGCAGATAATCTTATAATATTATTTATATGATACGAGCTAGTTCCCTGAAGCAAAGTTAAGCAATATTTTACTAGTACGGACCTAACGGACTCTTTTTTCTTCACGTTTCATGGGACAACTAATGAGACTTACTTCGTGTCTCCTTTTCAACTGATTGATGACAATGATTCCCGTTAACTGGCTACTATTAACAAGAAGGTTGTATTCGGTTAGAGGTTATTGAGGCTGAGTAATTAAGGGATCTTTTAAGCATCTTAAGTGCGCCCTTTTTTTTCGTATTAATTAGTTTCGTATTTAGTGCTTGGGAACATATTTCTGTTTGAATAATTAAACCCTTACGATTTCGCCAAAAGGTTCTTCAAGGGCTACTTCAGGTTGTCCTCTTTCTTTATCAAATCCTAAGACCAATATGTGGCATTTCTTTAGAACCACGATGCAAAAACGAAAATTTATGTGAGCTAATGAAACGTTTGGCTACGAGTGAAGATTGTTTCTAATTAGGAAAAAGACCTCGTGGCCTATTTTGGCGTTACCTAAAAACCCGTCCTTATGTGGTCTCCTAGGATTCTTTCTGACAAACGAAGTTGATGAGATGGCAATTTCAAGCGCATTCAACATTACATATTGGAAATTATCTTCCAAATGCTTTTGCTGTAGCAAAAACATGTACACAGCGATCCCCCCTGATATAGCATCGCGTAGATCTTCTACATCCGGCCAGTTTAATTGAAATAAACTCATTTGAAAAAGGGATTTACTTGCGTCCTGCTCCGTGAAACTATATGTTATAGTGTTTCTCTCTCTCTCTCTCTCTCTCTATATATATATATATATATATATACACCTGTACAGAATGGGAGTATTTTTCAGCGCTTAGCATTCAAAATTTCCTTGATTCATATGCGGACGCGCTGACTGTATGAGTCAAAAAATGTTTCTATATAAAGACTGGAGCTTTAGTGATGTTTACTTACAGATAACATGAAATAATGGTCAATTATTGTATGTTAACGCTTATTTTTGTAAATTATTCTTCTGTTAATTGTTGTTACTCTTCTTATGTCTTCTTGGCTGTTGTTAATCGTATGTCTGGTTAATTTTGACACTACGAATATGTTATTCGTTTTAATTATTTATTTATTTCTGTTAACTGTCATAGCTAGTGTTGTGTTTCGATTAAGCAATGTACAGTCTTAATATATATCATCTTGGAAAAAGGGTTTTATAAAAAAGATCTTGCATTTTGTCCCAGACCACATTTATAACCATCTCAGAAACCTGGTTGGCTGTAGAGCATCTTATTTCTTTTTGCCTCATTCCCTGACAATGAAAGGGATAATGTAGTACGTACACAGGGTTTGTTAGTGTTTTGTAACCAGAATTAGAGCTATCTAGCAATATCGTATTCATACGAACTTTTCACGTAATCAAGTGTTTATCCTAGAAACAACACGGTTTTACCAACCTTCCGATGAGCCTTGCGCGTATGGTGTTGCGAACATGGTGGCAACGGACGAACTTTGCGAGGTCCCCCAAAGGCGGATATGTTTGTACCTCACCTTTATTCAGCACGAATTGTGTTGTATACTACGATCAACGTGCTATGACTCCTCAGGATGTTATTTCTGTATCGCAAAGGTGGCGCGAAAATGCTAATAACACAACCTTTTCACTTCGAAGTCTTTTTAGCTCTTTGGGCCAATTAATTCATATAAGGTTTTAGTTGGAGAAGGTGGCTTATTTATAGATTTCTGAGAGCCTAACCTACCATCAGTAGAACATCAATTTGGCTACGGGCGTCACGGCCTTTTGGAATCTCTGGACACAAAAGCTATTTTCGTTTAGTACTTTGCTGAGAACGTCCTGCGCTTCCCGTGATGGTCTAGTAATAACGTGTTTGCTTGTTAAATATAGTTATATATATATATATATAAAACACCTAGTGAGGTTGCCCAGGTTCGGAACCGGGCGTAGGTACACTTTGTCTTCTGCTGGCAAAGGGGTAAAGCAAAAGCAGCATCGAACGTAAAACTTTTGGGAAACCTTTGGAAAAGGTATTTCGGTGTAAGGTTCGTGTGTGGCTGTCGTTTAGCATGTAAGAGAAGAATTATATAAACGGTACGTGCTGATGTACGATTCCAAACGTCCGAAAGAAAAAGGCTCGTGGCTAAATTTCTCTATGGGCAAGTTTTTCACCCGAATGTAACCGAAGTATTTTTGGTGTACCAAATTTAATGGTGAAGGTAATTTTTCGGCCTTCTGCATTAGCAAGCTTACTGTTTACTGATGTCAAAGTGGAAAAAACGCGGTGCATTAAAACAGTCGTTGCCTCTTGGCGTGGACGCTTCGTAAAGAATGTTACCTCGATCGGTTGTTGGCTGGATAGGCATAAACGCGAGGAAATGTGATAGAAACAGATGACACTAGAAAAGTGTGACCTTGCATAGATTCATCATGAAGATAAACGTTTTTAAGGTACCCCGACAAAGTGGAATCCTTCGATGCAACCAAACGACACCAGCCGCATGGAAGAAGCAACGTGACGGAAAGAGTTACTTTTCTAATTTTTTTT